GGTCGACTCGCCAGGCGCTGATGGACCACAGTCTCGGCTGAATTTCTCCCTCTGAGGCAGCAGGAGGTGATGAAAGGGTTCTGACTCATCCCCCCACCCCCACCCCACCCCCATTCGGCTACATCTCTCCTGCTGTTTTTGGATCAGAGCCATCTGATTGTAGATCATGTCTGTATAGTAATGATTCTGATGCTTTTAAAGCAGGTTCTGCTCTGTGGTCCTGATGGTTCTGATCAGCGGATCGCTAACAGGATCAGAAGGTGAGGATGCTGCTTGTTACCATGGGAGTGTGTCTCCATGGTAACCAGTTTTAACACAGAATCAATGTGTTACCTAAGTGGTGCTGAGCTAGAGGACAGGAAATGATCTGAAGTCAGTGGAGCGTGTCACAGCTCTGAGTGTGTTGCCATGGAGACCTTTACAGAAGGCTGGAGGCGAGGAGTCGTGCTGACGGATCAGAGGACAGAGAAGTGATACAGACACAGATCTGTAGATCGGACCATTTTGAGGTGGTTCTGGATCATCTGGTCCTGATCAACCATACGGAACCCACTGTGGCTGTTTGCAATGTTGGTGCTGATCTAAACGGCCCGACCCAGAAACCTGCATCCCTGTCATCATGGCAACAGAGGACATTATTGTCATGTCTCCATGACATTTACGGCTGTCAGTCAGATGTGGCAGTCTGTAGTACCCCAAATACCTGGGTGTTCACGTCAATAATAAACTGGACTCATGACACTGACGCCCTGTATAAGAAGGGCCAGAGCCGCCTCCCTCCACCTCCTGAGGAGGCTGAGCTCCTTTAGAGTGAGCAGGCCCCTGCTTCAATCCTTCTCTGACTCTGTGGTGGCATCAGCCCTCCTCGTCTGCTGGGCCCCTGGCAGCTCAGAGCGGGACAGAAAGAGACTGAACAAACTGTCCGTTTCTGTCCTAGGCTGCACTCTGGACTCAGTGGCTGAGAGGAGGGTGCTGTCCAAGCTTCCATCCATCATGGACGCCACCTTCCACCGTCTGCAGCAGACTGGAGAGGAGCTGAGCAGCTCCTTTAGTCAAAGACTTTTACAGCCTGTTAGGAAAAAGGAGCGCTACCGCAGGTCATTCATCCCTGCTGCAACCAGACTCTACAATTAATGTACAACACCAAATCCAAATGTTTATAAGTCATCTCAAACCTCTGCCTTATTGCATTTTTTTATTTTCTCCATTCACTGTATATATGTGGGTGCACTGTATATACCCCAATCACCTTTTCCTCCTTTTGGCAAATTCTTTTAACGAGCTGATGTGACAAGTGAATTTCTCCAATGTGAGATCAATAAAGTCTATTTTGTCTTATCCTATCTTACTTCTCTTACTTATCATACTTATATTATCTTTTCTTATTGTATTTAACTGATCTTACTTGTCTTGTTTTATCATCGTGACACCAGGATCCCGATTGATCCTGAAGGTGAAGATGGCTAACATCAGTAAGAACCCTTGCTGATCCATTGATACCTCAGGTTCTGGATTTAGAGGTTCGATTCAATTCTATTCAGTTTATTTCTATAGCTCCAATTCACATCATGTCATCTCAGGTCACTTTCCAGTTCACCAGATCTAAGGAAAACCAGCTGATTGCATCGACTCATTGACTCTTCAGCAATCCCTCACACTAAGCATGCTTGTAGCGACAGTGGAGAGGAAAAACTCCCTTTGAACAGGAAGAAACCTCCAGCAGAACCAGGCTCAGTGTGAGCGGCCATCTGCTGAGGCCCACTGGGGTTCAAGGAGACAGAAGCAGACATAGAAAAAGGAGCAGAGATACAAAAGGCAACTGTCAACCAGCTCCACAGGCGGCCCCGTCCAGGAAACACACAGCCAGGCAGACGAGCTCCGAGCCAGCTCCCATGCCAGAGGATGAAGAGAGCACATCCAGTTAGTCACAGTCAGAGAAACAGGACTACACTGGAAAACAGGCCAAGCTCCAACATCTAGAAACAAAGGTGTTGATGGCAGCAGCACAGCTGATATTTCTCTCCAGGATGGAGTCACAGCCAAACAGGAACAGACCAGATGAAGCTACTATGAGAAAAAGCAGAGAGAGCAGAACGTTAGAGATTGAACTAACAGATTCTGCAGAGTGGGAGAATAGAGATAGAATGAAGCAGAATGATGAAAAAGGGGTCCCTATGTCCTCCAGCAGTCTAAGCCTATAGCAGCAGAACTATAGAGATAGCTCAGGATAACCTGAACCACTCTAACTAGAAGCTTTATCAAAAAGGAAAGTTTTAAGCCTAGCCTTAAAAGTAGACAGGGTGTCTGCCTCACGGACTAAAACTGGTAGTTGGTTCCACAGGAGAGGAGCCTGAGAACCAAAAGATCACCTTTTACTGTGCCATAAGGGCCGTATGATGAACTGTTCTCTCTTTGCAAAGACATGAAAATAAAGTGCCGTTTATTTAACTGGGGAATAGTTGAATACATTTTTCCTACTACAATTTGGCGTTGTTAAGGCAGGATTCTCTTAACTGTATGCTGATGAAGGTTCCAAGTCATCCAGGTCATATTCATTCCGTAAAAATGAATATGACCTGGATTCCGTAAAAATTCAAAAAAATATCCACTGGACTTGGTTTTCAAGATTTGAAGACGTTTCGCCACCTCTCCAGGAAGCTTTCTCAATTGAGAAAGCTTCCTGGAGAGGTGGCGAAACGTCTTCAAATCTTGAAAACCAAGTCCAGTGGATATTTTTTTGAATTTTTACGGAATGATTCTCTTAACTGGGTTTTTCTGAGGACAGTGATTGTCTTCCAGCCTCAATACCCCGTTTAGAAGTTTAAGGGAGTGAGGACTTCTGGCATCGAGGTCCCTGGAGGTCAGCGTCTTTTGTCGGCACAGTTAAAAGTAAATTTAAAAAACAACAGATTGTTAACAGATTTAAAGAGTATTAGAAATCAAATACTGTAAAATTATTTCAAACAAATCCTCTACTTGTCGATATAAAATAAAATAAATAAATGTAATCTATTTAGCAAAAAAAAATCCTAACTAAAAAAAGATTAATATGTTAATCATTTCTAATGCACTAAAAATGTGTATAATACTGTAATGATTCTGTGTTTGGTTCTATTGGGTTCCATACGGTTATATGCTAGCCATGTTGTGAGGGGCGTGAGCTGTAGCCTCAGAAATAACAGCTCGTGTTTGTTAAATAAACCCTGTTGACGGAATTACCTCGGCGTAACTGGCATCATTACAATACTAAAGAACCTACCTACATAGCGCACATATATATACATACATAAATGGTAAAAGATAACTTTGTTTTCATGAGAAGAGTGACGATTTGTTTTTTTTTCACCTGAGAACCAAAAGGCCCTGGCGTAGGAACGTGAGGCTCTCTCTAAGCACTGAGAGGAAGGTTGTAGGTATCACCAGAAGGTACTTCATTTTACTGAGACGTTGGTTAGCCCCCCAGTTATCCAGGTCGGCACCAGAGGATTGGTGTGCATATCTGGCAGAGTTAAATTACTGGTAGATGATGGGACAAATTTGCAGTTGTTAAGCACTAGAACAAAGGCAAGGTTCCAGGGAAATGTCAACTACCCAAGGAGAGATTTTTCATTTTATGCAAGAAAATCTCTTTCTCTTTTCCTCAAGGAGTTTCTTTTAATGTTGCAAAACAAAAAAATGATGAAGATAAGAGAAACCAATATGAGGAGAAGTTAGAGGCTAAAAAGAAGTTAGGGTAAGAAGATTTACAGATTTGAAAAAAAAAAAAAACATTTTAAAATGGATGGATGAAGAGGAGAGTTCCACGTACAGAAGAGGATTAGGGCCACTGGAAAAAACAACAACTGATTTTTTCTTTATTTTATTTCAGTATAGTATGGGAAAAAAGTCAGAATTCTGACTTTAATCTCAGAATTCTGACTTTTTTTATTGTCAGAATTCAGTCAGAATTCTGAGATTAAAGTCAGAAGTCTGAGAAAAAAGTCAGAATTCTGAGAAAAAAGTCCGAATTCTGAGATTAAAGTCAGAATTCTGAGAAAAAAGTCCGAATTCTGAGATTAAAGTCAGAATTCTGAGAAAAAAGTCCGAATTCTGAGATTAAAGTCAGAATTCTGAGAAAAAAGTCAGAATTCTGAGAAAAAAGTCAGAATTCTGACTTTTTTCTCAGAATTCTGACTTTTTTCCCATGTTAAACCGAAATAAAATTTAAAAATCAGTTTACTTTTTTTTTTTTTTTCCAGTGGCCCTAATCCTCTTCCGTATCCATGAAATCACCTCAGCCCAAGAAATGAAATATAATTAGAAGGCCATAGGGAGTGTTTAACCCTTACACTGCCCATATTTACACTGTACGATATTTTAGAGTTACACTACACTAAGTAATAATAATTAATTTTAATTTCAATGGTGCTTTTAAATAAACAAAACTCTAAATTCTTAGAGGAAATGAATAACTCTTAGCTAAAAACTATCAAATTATTACACAAACAATGTAAGTAGGGCATAAAATAAGGTGAAATTAAAAGTTTAAAACCTTCTAAAAATGGAGGAATTTACCTAAATTAAATTACAGGTTTAATCTAGGAACAGATTTCTAGGTGGAATCAGATCTGCTCACATGTTGTAGGCTGGTAGGCTAATCTGAAACGTAGCCTTAGCTTTGATGGAGGAAAAGATTTCGAATTTAGTCCTGCAACTCTGAGCTGTCACCTCACTAAAGATAGACACACCTCACTAAAGATGGAGGCATGATTATTGCAGAAACTGGACCAATGATCAGTATTCATGTATCCTAGAAATATTGATGGGCATAAAGGTGAGTTAGAAATACAGTTATAACCAAAAATATCACAACGAAATTTTAATTTCATCTAAAAAAAAAAATCTAAATTAGAAAAATCTGAAGGGAATGTTTCAATTCTCACTTCTAGTGCAAAAACCAGAGGGGGCGCTACTGCCACTTCAAGCACTCTACCAAGTAAAGAAAAGAAGAAGACGACAAAGAGGAAGAACAAGAAGAAGAAGAAGAAGGAAAGGGGAAGAGAAGAGGAGAAGAGGAGCAGAGAAGTTTTGGTGTCGGATCATTTGGACCTGACTGATCAGATCCAGAGGTGAGTCCAGAGAATCGCAGCTGGTTCCGGTTGTATTTCTGTTAGCTGTTAGCCGTTAGCTGTTACCATCAGCCACTTCCGGTTCGCCCCTCAAAACAAAACTAATGGAGTCACTCCAGGAATAGATCATCGATGTGACGTCATGAAATCTACCTGCGGGTTTAGAGTTCGGTTCTTCTAGAACCGGAACGGTCGGAGGATCAAAGCCGAACCTTTGGATCGTTTCCGGTCGGTTCGGTAACATTTAAAGGGCCAGAACCCACAGAGGAACTGGAACCAATGAACACCCAGTTCCACTGTGGGGCCCCCCAGGAGTCTGGGCCCCATGAAAGACATTGATATTGGCCCTGAATATAAAAATCTAACTAAACTGTTTTAATATTGACACAGATTTTATTTAATCTAAATATGTTAAACATCTAGTAGCTGATGTTAAACCTCTGATAACTGTGGTCTTTTCGTTATTTACAGTGCCACAATAGGCTTAATAAATGCTGGATTAATCCTGTTTGTTTTTTTTCTTGAAAATTAAAAACAAATCAACAAAATAAAAAACAAATTTGAGAATGAAAAAAACTGGATCAGGGATCGGACGCCTTCTCTCTCCTCCTTCTCTTCCTTTTTTCAAACCCAGACTTTGGGGCGCGGCATTTTTGTTTTTAACGCCCTGCTTTCTTGTTAATTTGTTTCTTTCGTTGCGTTACGTCCACAAGGGCACAACATATTTAAGGAAACAGACAAAACTGAGGGTACAAAATAATTTATTTAATTTATTCTGTTGTTTAACTCTTTTTTCAAGACAGCTGTGGGGATGTTTTTGTCCCTCCCACAGCACAGAAACATCTCTCATCAGAGTCACCAGCGATCTGCTGATGGCCTCTGATTCCGGTTTCACGTCCCTCCTCATTCTTCTCGACCTCTCTGCTGCGTTTGACGCAGTAGATCACCACTTCCTCCTCCACCGCCTCCAGCATTTCATTGGTCTCCACTGGTTTCACTCCTACCTCACTGACAGGACCGAGTACGTGGCCCTGGGGGAGGCAAAATCCAGACCTCACACTGTCACCTGTGGGGTCCCCCAGGGCTCCGTGCTCGGCCCTACCCTGTTCACCATCTACATGCTCCCCCTTAGTTGTGTCGTCGGCAGGCATGGGGTCAAACTTCCATCGCTATGCTAACGACACACAACTTTACATTAAAATGACTCCCCCCCCCAGCTCCCCCGCCACCTCTGTCACCCACCTCAGCTGCTGCCTGGAGGATATTAAGGCGTGGATGAGTCAAAACTTCCTGCAGCTTAATGCCTCAAAAACAGAGGCCATCCAAACTGGTACTCCTCATCAACTCCGTTCCTTTCCTCTCACCTCTGTTTCATTCTGTGCTCATACCATTCCCCTCTCCCTCTGTTACCAGCCTTGGGGTCAGGCTTGACCCCCACCTCTCCTTTGAGAATCACGTCACCTCCATTTGCAAAACGTCCTTCTTTCCCCTCCGTAATATTTCCAAACTCCGCCCCTCCAAGCTCGTCCACGCCTTCGTCTCCTCCAGGCTGGATTACTGCAACGCTCTCCTCATGGGGATCTCTGGCAGGAGCCTTCAGAAGCTCCAGTACGTACAGAACAGCGCTGCCAGGGTCCTGATGAGGGTGAGGAAACACCAGCACATCACTCCCATCCTTCAAACTTTGCACTGGCTCCCTATTCACGCCCGTATAGAGTACAAGATTCTTCTGCACACCCATCACTGTGTGCACGGTGCGGCCCCCACCTATCTGACTGAACTGCTCACACCACACAGCTCTTCCCGGACCCAGTCAGGCCAACAGCACCGTCTGGCCCCACCCAGGACACGGCTAAAAACAATGACCGACGGGGCCTTTGAAGCTGCAGCTCCCCGTCTGTGGGATGCCCTCCCAGACCACCTTAGGGCCCCAAAGACGGTGGATTGTTTTAAGAAAGGATTGAAAACTTTCCTTTTTAGAAATGCTTTCAAGTTCTGATTTTTAGATTTTATTTAATAGGCTACGTACGCCTTTGAATGTATTGATGAATGATTGTCTTTTGCTCTTTTTTAATGTTATGGTCTTTTAACCTTTGTTTTAATTTTCCCTTTTTGAAATGTAGCACTTTGAGATTTGAATTCAAATGTAAAGTGCACTACAAATAAAATTCATTATTATTATTATTGTAGAGGAAAAAGAAAAAACTGAATTAAATATCCTCAGCTTCTGTGGCAATAAAAAAAAGGAAAAGGGGAAAAAACCCAAAGTACCATGGACCTGGTGAGCCGATCAAAAATAACAACACAGTACAGCAGAAGGTTAACCCTATACGGGGCCGTCGACGCCCGTACTAGTACCGGACTACAGCAAAAATATACTACTAAAGAGAAATAAAGATTTAAAAAACAGGACAACTGGTCCCACCCGGACAAAATCACATGAAATCAGCTTCTAAGCGAAGGTAACAAAAATAGCGCATGGCGGGTCGGAAGTGTTGGCTGCGGCCTACAGCAGCTGGTTAGGGTTAGGGTGATGAATGAGCGAGTAAAAGGGCGGACCTCCCAATTTAAAACCCAGCCTATTTATAGGCGGTCCAACAGCCACCAATTAACCAAAAAAAGTATCCAAACTGGGCGTAGAACCTGTCGGCGGGTCATTGGGTTCCTGCGGTCCAGATGGGCATAGAACCCGTCGGCGGGTCATTGGGTTCCTGAGGTCCAGATGGCTGTAGAACCTGTCGGTGGGTCATCGGGTTCCTGAGGTCCAGATGGGCGTAGAACCTGTCGGTGGGTCATTGGGTTTCTGCGGTCCAGATGGCCGTAGAACCTGTCGGTGGGTCATCGGGTTCCTGAGGTCCAGATGGCCGTAGAACCTATCGGCGGGTCATCGGGTTTCTGCGGTCCAGATGGCCGTAGAACCTGTCTGCGGGTCATTGGGTTCCTGAGGTCCAGATGGCCTTAGAACCTGTCTGCGGGTCATTGGGTTCCTGAGGTCCAGATGGCCGTAGAACCTGTCGGTGGGTCATTGGGTTCCTGAGGTCCAGATGGCCGTAGAATCTGTCGGCGGGTCATTGGGTTCCTGCGGTCCAGACGGGGGTAGAACCTGTCGGCGGGTCATTGGGTTCCTGAGGTCCAGATGGCCGTAGAACCTGTCGGCGGGTCATTGGGTTCCTGCGGTCCAGATGGCCGTAGAATCTGTCGGCGGGTCATTGGGTTCCTGCGGTCCAGATGGGTGTAGAACCTGTCGGTGGGTCATCGGGTTCCTGAGGTCCAGATGGCTGTAGAACCTGTCGGTGGGTCATCGGGTTCCTGAGGTCCAGATGGCCGTAGAATCTGTCGGCGGGTCATTGGGTTCCTGCGGTCCAGACGGGGGTAGAACCTGTCGGCGGGTCATTGGGTTCCTGAGGTCCAGATGGCCGTAGAACCTGTCGGCGGGTCATTGGGTTCCTGCGGTCCAGATGGCCGTAGAATCTGTCGGCGGGTCATTGGGTTCCTGCGGTCCAGATGGGTGTAGAACCTGTCGGTGGGTCATCGGGTTCCTGAGGTCCAGATGGCTGTAGAACCTGTCGGTGGGTCATCGGGTTCCTGAGGTCCAGATGGCCGTAGAACCTGTCGGCGGGTCATTGGGTTCCTGAGGTCCAGATGGCCGTAGAACCTGTCGGCGGGTCATTGGGTTCCTGCGGTCCAGATGGCCGTAGAATCTGTCGGCGGGTCATTGGGTTCCTGAGGTCCAGATGGCTGTAGAACCTGTCGGTGGGTCATCGGGTTCCTGAGGTCCAGATGGCTGTAGAACCTGTCGGTGGGTCATTGGGTTCCTGAGGTCCAGATGGGTGTAGAACCTGTCGGTGGGTCATCGGGTTCCTGAGGTCCAGATGGCTGTAGAACCTGTCGGTGGGTCATCAGGTTCCTGAGGTCCAGATGGGCGTAGAACTTGTCGGCGGGTCATTGGGTTCCTGAGGTCCAGATGGCCGTAGAACCTGTCGGCGGGTCATTGGGTTTCTGCGGTCCAGATGGGTGTAGAACCTGTCGGTGGGTCATTGGGTTTCTGCGGTCCAGATGGGCGTAGAACTTGTCGGCGGGTCATTGGGTTTCTGCGGTCCAGATGGCCGTAGAACCTGTCGGTGGGTCATCGGGTTCCTGAGGTTCAGATGGCCGTAGAACCTATCGGCGGGTCATTGGGTTTCTGCGGTCCAGATGGCCGTAGAACCTGTCTGCGGGTCATTGGGTTCCTGAGGTCCAGATGGCCTTAGAACCTATCGGCGGGTCATTGGGTTTCTGCGGTCCAGATGGGTGTAGAACCTGTCGGTGGGTCATTGGGTTCCTGAGGTCCAGATGGGCGTAGAACCTGTCTGCGGGTCATTGGGTTCCTGAGGTCCAGATGGCCGTAGAACCTGTCTGCGGGTCATTGGGTTCCTGAGGTCCAGATGGCCGTAGAACCTGTCGGTGGGTCATTGGGTTCCTGAGGTCCAGATGGCCGTAGAATCTGTCGGCGGGTCATTGGGTTCCTGCGGTCCAGACGGGGGTAGAACCTGTCGGTGGGTCATTGGGTTCCTGAGGTCCAGATGGCCGTAGAACCTGTCGGCGGGTCATTGGGTTCCTGCGGTCCAGATGGCCGTAGAATCTGTCGGCGGGTCATTGGGTTCCTGCGGTCCAGATGGCCGTAGAACCTGTCGGCGGGTCATTGGGTTCCTGTGGTCCAGATGACCGTATAACCTGTCGGCAGGGTCATTGGGTTCCTGAGGTCCAGACTGGGCGTAGAACCTGTCGGCAGGTCAGTGGGTTCCTGAGGTCCAGATGGGCGTAGAACCTATAGGCGGGTCATTGGGTTCCTGAGGTCCAGATGGCCGTAGAACCTGTCGGCGGGTTCCTGCAGTCCAGTTTCATAATGGTCTGTCTGTGAAAGCTGATGAAGCGCTGTGATGCTCTGGTTCATAATCAGCATGTTTTCTGGAGGATCTGGTGTGTAGAACATGTTCTGAGCAGATTACTGACTAGGTTCTGTGTGTTCCAGATGTACTACTATCGCTATGACAACGCTGAGGTCAGCTGCTGCTACAAGTACCTGATGTTCAGCTACAACATCATCTTCTGGGTGAGTCACACTTGCTGAGCTCCTTCTGGACTCGGCAGCAGCAGAACCTCCTGTCAACCACCTACAAAGGATGTGTACTGCGGTGCGTCTTCCTGCACAGTTCTGTTTCCTCTTGACATGTAGAAACAGGAAGTGATGTCAGAGGCTTCCTGCAGTGAACATGAAGTTTTAGATTTTCATCATGCAGCCAGTTGGTAGAGCTGAGCTCCCGCGGACCTCTAACCCACAGCAGAACCATCATGGCTGACGGGTTTTCTGTATGTTTCTATGCCGCTGATTCTGTTTCATTTGCAGCTGGCAGGAGCCGCCTTCATTGCCATTGGATTCTGGGCCTGGAGTGAGAAGGTGAGTGGACCAGAACCACAGGACTCTGGTCTATAAACAGACGGTCTAACGTCTCTTTGTTTTGTCGGCAGGGGGTCTTGTCGGACCTGACCCAGGTGACCAGGCTGCACGGTTTTGATCCAGTCTGGCTGGTTCTGGTGGTTGGTGGAGTCACCTTCACTCTTGGCTTTGCTGGCTGTGTTGGAGCTCTGAGGGAGAACATCTGTCTACTGAAGTTTGTACGTCTTTGGTTCTCTGAATGAAACCTCTGTTCACGGGGGAACCGAGGAGGTGGGGAATAAACTGGACTCTAAGGCCCTAAGCACTAACCCTCTGTTCCCATGGAGGGTCCCCCACATTAAGGGCGGGGCCTGTAGACTGTTCAGCCTACCAATGAATCGATAGAACTGATCAGCACATCCTATAGAATTCTGAGGGAGAACAGCACGGCATTCTGGGGCATGTAGGCAGTGGGCTGGATTAAGCTGTTGTTCTGTCTCAAACTTGGTTCTGATCCAAACTCTGAATCCTTCTATATTGACTCAGTTTTCAGGTGTCATCGGCTTCATCTTCTTCTTGGAGCTGACTGTAGCTGTTTTGGCCGTGGTTTTCCAGAGTCAGGTCAAAGATTGGATCAACGATTTCTTCCTGCAGAATATCAAAGGGTACCGTGACGATATCGACCTGCAGAACCTCATCGACTCTCTGCAGAGTCTGGTAGAAGCTCAGAATTGGGTCCTATTCCTCAGTAGAGTGTGAGCCCGCTACTGACCGCTGTCCTCCCTGAACAGAACCACTGCTGTGGCGCTCAGGAACCCAATGACTGGGATCTGAACGAGTACTTCAGCTGTAACGGAACCCACCGGAGCAGAGAGAAGTGTGGCGTGCCCTTCTCCTGCTGCATCACAGATCCTGCCGTGAGTTTTCTGCTCAGGTTCTGATCCACTGACCCCAGCTTCAGAGTAATTCTGGTTCTGCTCTTTCAGGACATGGTTCTAAACTCGCAGTGTGGCTATGATGTAAGGAACAAAGCACAGGTGAGCTCTGCTCCCCCCAATGATCTCCAGGTGATGGGATGTAGTCTTTTTCCTGCTTGGATATTGACTTTCTGGGTTTTACAGGAGATCTGGAACCAACAGATCTACGTCAGAGGATGCATCCCGGCGCTGGAGGACTGGTTACCTAGAAACCTGTACACGGTGGCCATCGTCTTCATCGTCATCTCACTGCTGCAGGTACCACAACGCCATCCTGTACCCGAGCTCACCTGTGGTCACCAATAGCCACCCGTGGTCACCCATACTAACCTGTGGTCACCAATAGCCACCTGTGGTCACCAATAGCCACCCATGGTCATCAATAGTCACCAATACTAACCCGTGGTCACCCATACTAACCTGTGGTCACCCATAGTCACCCATGGTCACCAATAGTCACCTGTGGTCACCAATACTAACCCGTGGTCACCCATACTAACCTTTGGTCACCAATACTAACCCGTGGTCACCAATAGCCACCCATGGTCACCAATAGTCACCTGTGGTCACCAATACTAACCCGTGGTCACCCATAAAAAACTGTGGTCATCAATAGTCACCTGTGGTCACCAATAGCCACCCGTGGTCACCCATACTAACCCGTGGTCACCAATAGCCACTCGTTGTCAACAATAGCCACCCATGGTCACCAATACTAACCCATGGTCACCAATAGCCACCCGGGGTCACCAATAGTCACCCGTGGTCACCAATACTAACCCATGGTCACCAATACTAACCCCTGGTCACCAATACTAAACCATGGTCACCAGTAGCCATCCGCGGTCACCAATACTAACCCATGGTCACCAATACTAACCCATGGTCACCAATACTAATCCATGGTCACCAATACTAATCCATGGTCACCAATAGTCACCTGTGGTCACCAATACTAACCCATGGTCACCCATAATAACCTGTGGTCACCCATAAAAACCTGTGGTCACCAATAGTCACCTGTGGTCACCAATAGCCACCCGTGGTCACCAATAACTAACCCGTGGTCACCAATAGCCACTCGTTGTCAACAATAGCCACCCATGGTCACCAATACTAACCCATGGTCACCAATAGCCACCCGTGGTCACCCATACTAACCTGTGGTCACCAATAACCCCCCATGGTCACCAATAACTAACCCGTGGTCACCAATAGCCACTCGTTGTCAACAATAGCCACCCATGGTCACCAATACTAACCCATGGTCACCAATAGCCACCCGTGGTCACCCATACTAACCTGTGGTCACCAATAACCCCCCATGGTCACCAATAACTAACCCATGGTCACCAATAGCCACCCGTGGTCACCAATACTAACCCATGGTCACCAATACGCAACCATGGTCACCAGTAGCCATCCGCTGTCACCAATACTAACCCATGGTCACCAATAGCCACCCGTGGTCACCAATAGCCACCCGTGGTCACCAATAGTCACCTGTGGTCACCAATAGCCACCCGTGGTCACCAATACTAACCCATGGTCACCAATACTAAACCATGGTCACCAATAGTCACCTGTGGTCACCAATACTAACCCATGGTCACCAATACTAAACCATGGTCACCAGTAGCCACCCGCGGTCACCAATACTAACCCATGGTCACCAGTAGCCACCCGGGGTCATTATTAGCCACCTGTGGTCACCAATAACCACTCGTGGTCACTAATACTAACCCCTGGTCACCAATACTAAACCATGGTAACGGTTACCATCCGCGGTCACCAATAATAATCCATGGTCACCAATAGTCACCTGTGGTCACCAATACTAAGCCATGGTCACCAATAGCCACCCGTGGTCACCAGTACTAACCTGTGGTCACCAATCCTGAGTTATCTCTATAGTTCTGCTGCTATAGGCTTAGACTGCTGGAGGACATAGGGACCCCTTTTTCATCATCCTGTTTCATTCTATCTCTACAGGTGCTGGTCATAAAATTAGAATATCATGAAAAAGCAGATTGATTTCAGTAATTCCATTTAAAAAGTGAAACTTGTATATTATATTCATACATTACATACAAACTCATATATTTCAGATGTTTATTTTGTTTAATTTTGATGATTACAAATGACAACAAATGAAAATCTCAAATTCATCATATCAGAAAATTAGAATATTGTGAAAAGGTTCAAAATTGATGGCCCCTGGTGCCACACTCTAATCAGCTAATTAACTCAAACCACCTGCAAAAGCCTTTAAATGGTCTTTCAGTCTAGTTCTATAGGCTACACAATCATGGGGAAGACTGCTGACTTGACAGTTGTCCAAAAGACGACCATCGACACCTTGCACAAGGAGGGCAAGACACAAAAGGTCATCGCTAAAGAGGCTGGCTGTTCACAGAGCTCAGTGTCCAAGCACATTAACAGAGAGGCGAAGGGAAGGAAAAGATGTGGTCGAAAAAAGTGTACAAGCAAGAGAGATAACCGCACCCTGGAGAGGATTGTGAAACAAAACCCATTCAAAAATGTGGGGGAGATTCACAAAGAGTGGACTGCAGCTGGAGTGAGTGCTTCAAGAACCACCACACACAGACGTATGAAAGACATGGGTTTCTGCTGTCGCATTCCTTGTGTCAAGCCACTCTTGAACCACAGACAGCGTCAGAAGCGTCTTGCCTGGGCTAAAGAGAAACAGGACTGGACTGCTGGTGAGTGGTCCAAAGTCATGTTCTCTGATGAAAGTAAATTTTGCATTTCCTTTGGAAATCAAGGTCCCAGAGTCTGGAGGAAAAGAAGAGAGGCACTTCATCCACGTTGCTTGAAGTCCAGTGTAAAGTTTCCACAGTCAGTGATGGTTTGGGGTGCCATGTCATCTGCTGGTGTTGGTCCATTGTGTTTTCTGAGGTCCAGGGTCAACGCAGCCACATACCAGGAAGTTTTAGAGCACTTCATGCTTCCTGCAGCTGACCAACTTTTTGGAGATGCAGATTTCATTTTCCAACAGGACTTGGCACCTGCACACAGTGCCAAAGCTACCAGTACCTGGTTGAAGGACCATGGTATCCCTGTTCTTAATTGGCCAGCAAACTCTCCTGACCTTAACCCCGTAGAAAATATATGGGGTATTGTGAAGAAGAAGATGCAATACACCAGACCCAACAATTCAGAAGAGCTAAAAGCCACTATTAGAGCAACCTGGGCTATCATAACACCTGAGCAGTGCCACAGACTGATCGACTCCATGCCACGCCGCATTGCTGCAGTAATACAGGCCAAAGGAGGCCCAACTAAATACTGAGTGCTGTACATGCTCATACTTTTCATGTTCATACTTTTCAGTTGGCCAACATTTCTATAAATCCTTTGTTTTTATTGGTCTTCAGTAATATTCTAATTTTCTGATATGATGAATTTGAGATTTTCATTTGTTATTTGTAATCATCAAAATTAAACAAAATAAACATCTGAAATATATGAGTTTGTATGTAATGTATGAATATAATATACAAGTTTCACTTTTTAAATGGAATTACTGAAATCAATCTACTTTTTCATGATATTCTAATTTTATGACCAGCACCTGTATAGTTCTGCTGCTATAGGCTTAGACTGCTGGAGGACATAGGGACCCCTTTTTCATCATTCTGCTTCATTCTATCTCTATTCTCCCACTCTGCAGAATCTGTTAGTTCAATCTCTAACGTTCTGCTCTCTCTGCTTTTTCTCATAGTAGCTTCATCTGGTCTGTTCCTGTTTGGCTGTGACTCCATCCTGGAGAGAAATATCAGCTGTGCTGCTGCCATCAACACCTTTGTTTCTAGATGTTGGAGCTTGGCCTGTTTTCCAGTGTAGTCCTGTTTCTCTGACTGTGACTAACTGGATGTGCTCTCTTCATCCTCTGACATGGGAGCTGGCTCGGAGCTCGTCTGCCTGGCTGTGTGTTTCCTGGACGGGGCCGCCTGTGGAGCTGGTTGACAGTTGCCTTTTGTATCTATGCTTCTTTTTCTATGTCTGCTTCTGCCTCCTTGAACCCCAGTGGGCCTCAGCAGATGGCCGCTCACACTGAGCCTGGTTCTGCTGGAGGTTTCTTCCTGTTCAAAGGGAGTTTTCCTTTCCACTGTCGCTACAAGCATGCTTAGTTAGAGGGATTGCTGAAGAGTCAATCTGGTGAACTGGAAAGTTCCTTGAGATGACATGATGTGAATTGGAGCTATAGAAATAAACTGAATAGAATTGATAGTAACCAATACTAACCTGTGATCACTTCCTCTCTGCTGACAGATGGTGGGGATCTATCTGGCCCGGACGTTGATCTCAGACATTGAAAAGGTTAAATTCCCCTACTGAAGTCAGCTGCCCTTGACCTGCAGGGGGCGGAGCCTAAACAACCTGTTCTGGAGCAGGTGTCGGCTGTCACATGTGCCTTCATACTGTTCTGCAGTTTAGTCTTCCTATAATTGTCTGACTGAATGTGAAGTTTTCCTGATGAGCGTTTTGTCTGATGTTTCTGCTCTGTGCCTAAATGCCTTTACGTCTGCTTCACCTCAGAGGCCTTTAGATCCTACCTGATCAAGCATCATCATCATAACTACTCAGTCTGGATGTCATTCTTAGAACCCAGACTCGGGGACTAGGTTCTGGTTCCTGCTGGACTGTAGTCCGTTTCTGACCCTAAACCAGACTGATGGATGACAGGTCAAATTAACAGACTGGCCCTTTAAATAGTTTCTGGTCACATTTGAATGAGTGCAGACGTCCTGTTTGACACTGGAAGACAAATTAGTCTGAATAAAGTTTAGTTTGAATATTCATGCTGTGACTTATCAGAGGAAATGTTTGATTCATTGATCTAATGACTGACTCTGTTTGGAGCTTTTATTTTGAAGGGATTGTTTTTTTTTTACAAAGTGAATTTTTTATCTTTTTTACATTCAACATAATAAAAGTGAATTTTCCTCTCATGCAGGCTGATGTTTTATTGATTAATGTTCTGTAAATCTGATCTGATCTGATTTCATGTCAGGCTGCAGTTCAGTCAGTGGCCACTGGGTGTCGCTGCAGCACCTTGTGGGCAGATCACGCACCCTTCTTCGGAATCTAAACCTTCCGCTCGCCTCCTCCTCTCGACTCCTCCTCTCTGCTCTCCTCAGATCTTTCTATCAGCTCCTCCCCTCGGCTCCTCCTCCTGGCTCCTTGTGTCAGCTCCTCTTAGCTCCTCTCGGCTCTCCTCGCCTCCTCCTGGCTCCTCTCGGTTCTACTCGGCTCCTCTCAGCTCTCCTCGGCTCCTCCTCTCAGCTCCTCCTGGTTCCTCCTCTTGTCTCTCCTCGGCTCCTCCTCTCGTCTCTCTTCGGCTCCTCCTCTCAGCTCTCCTCGGCTCCCCCTGGCTCCTCCTTTCGTCTCTCCTTGGCTCCTCTCAGCTCCTCCTCTCGCCTCTCCTCGGCACCTCCTCTCGGCTCTCCCTGGCTCCTCTCGGATCTCCTCGGTTCCTCTCGCCTCTCCTGGGCTGCTCCTCTCGGCTCCCCCTGGCTCTCCTCGGCTCCTCTGGACTCCCCTGGCTCCTCCTCTTGGCTCCCCCTGGCTCCTCCTCTTGGCTCCCCCTGGCTCCTGCTCTCGGCTTCTCCTCTCGGCTCTCCTCGGCTCCTCTGGACTCCCCTGGCTCCTCCTCTTGGCTCCCCCTGGCTCCTGCTCTCGGCTTCTCCTCTCGGCTCTCCTCGGCTCGTCCTCTTGGCTTCCCCTGGCTCCTCTCGGATCTCCTCGGCTCCTCCTTTCGGCTCCCCGTGGCTCTCCTCGGCTTCTCCTCTTGGCTTCCCCTGGCTCCTCTCGGATCTCCTCGGCTCCTCTCGCCTCTCCTCGGCTCCCCGTGGCTCTCTTCGGCTTCTCCTCTCGGCTCTCCTCGGCTTCTCCTCTCGGCTCCCTGTGGCTCTCCTCGGCTTCTCCTCTTGGCTTCTCCTGGCTCCTCTCGTCTCTCCTCGGCTCTTCCTCTCGGCTCCTCTCTGCTCCCCCTGGCTCCTCCTCTTGGCTCCCCCTGGCTCCTCTCGGCTCTCCTCGGCTTCTCCTCTCGGCTCCCCCTGGCTCTCCTCGGCTCTTCTCGGCTCCTCCTCTCGGCTCTCCTCGGCTCCCCCTGGCTCCTCTCGGATCTCCTCAGCTCCTCCTCTCAGATCTCCTCGGCTCCCCCTGGCTCCTCTCGGATCTCCTCGGCTCCTCCTCTCGGCTCCCCCTGGCTCCTCTCGGATCTCCTCGGCTCCTCTGGACTCCCCTGGCTCCTCCTCTCGGCTCCCCCTGGCTCCTCTTGCCTCTCCTCGGCTCCTCCACTCTGCTCCCCCTGGCTCCTCCTCTCGGCTCTCCTCGGCTTCTCCTCTCGGCTCCCCCTGGCTCTCCTCGGCTCTTCTCGGCTCCTCCTCTCGGCTCTCCTCGGCTCCCCCTGGCTCCTCTCGGATCTCCTCAGCTCCTCCTCTCAGATCTCCTCGGCTCCCCCTGGCTCCTCTCGGATCTCCTCGGCTCCTCCTCTCGGCTCCCCCTGGCTCCTCTCGGATCTCCTCGGCTCCTCTGGACTCCCCTGGCTCCTCCTCTCGGCTCCCCCTGGCTCCTCTTGCCTCTCCTCGGCTCCTCCACTCTGCTCCCCCTGGCTCCTCCTCTCGGCTCTCCTCGGCTCTTCTCGGCTCCTCCTCTCGGCTCTCCTCGGCTTCTCATCTCGGCTCCTCTCGGATCTCCTCGGCTCCTCCTCTCGGCTCTCCTCGGCTCCTCTCGGATCTCCTCGGCTCCTCCTCTCGGCTCCCCCTCTCGGCTCCCCCTGACTCCTCCTCTCGGCTCCTCTCCAGCCTCAGCAGGCAGACGGAAACGCTCCGCAGCGTCGCGGCTCGGTTCTCCTCTCTGTCCGCTCTCCAGGCCTCCGGACCGGCTCGCTCTCAGCCCGCAGTCCGGCGGCGGACCCTCGTCCTCCGGGACAGACAGCTGCGGCTCAGCCTGACCCTTTCCGGATCTCCTCCTCTGCCCCTCCGCGGTGGAAAACCCCGGACGGAGGCCCGAGGTGTGCGCTCCTCCTCCCGCAGGCCCTCGGCCCGGACCCCCGCGAAATGGACGGACTCACCGGCAGTTTGGGTGAGTATGGACCGGTCCGCAGCCCGAACCGAACCGAACCTGCTCACCCTCCGTTGCATGGGTGGGAAGGTGAGGGTCGCACGCGCCTCTGGCAGCTTTACACGTGTCACTGCTGTTTGTTTGAGGAAGAACCTGCACCGCCCCTGTGGCCGCTGCAGGGCCGCGAAACCAACACCCCCGCCTGTGAACCCAGAATGAGTCCAAGCAGAAATTATGAGCTATAGAACCAGAAGCAGCAGGAGATCTGCAGCTTGAGCTAGATCTGTTTCCGGTCCAGATCTGCAACTGGGTCTGCACCAGAGCTGCAGCTGGATCTGGTTCCGGACTAGATCTGCAGCTGGATCTGGACCAGAGCTGCAGCTGGATCTGCTCCAGAGCTGCAGCTGGATCTGCTCCAGAGCTGCAGCTGGATCTGGTTCTGAACTAGATCTGCAGCTGGGTCTGGTTCCTGACTAGATCTGCAGCTGGGTCTGGTTCCTGACTAGATCTGCAGCTGGGTCTGGTTCCTGACTAGATCTGCAGCTGGGTCTGGTTCCGGACTAGATCTGCAGCTGGATCTGGTCCCGGACTAGATCTGCAGCTGGATCTGGTTCCGAACTAGATCTGCAGCTGGGTCTGGTTCCTGACTAGATCTGCAGCTGGGTCTGGTTCCGGACTAGATCTGCAGCTGGGTCTGGTTCCGGACTAGATCTGCAGCTGGGTCTGGTTCCGGACTAGATCTGCAGCTGGGTCTGGTTCCGGACTAGATCTGCAGCTGGGTCTGGTTCCGGACTAGATCTGCAGCTGGGTCTGGTTCCGGACTAGATCTGCAGCTGGGTCTGGTTCCGGACTAGATCTGCAGCTGGATCTGGTTCCTGACTAGATCTGCAGCTGGATCTGGACCAGAGCTGCAGCTGGTTCTGGACCAGATCTGCAGCTCGATCTGGTTCCGGACTAGATCTGCAGCTGGGTCTGGTTCCTGACTAGATCTGCAGCTGGGTCTGGTTCCGGACTAGATCTGCAGCTGGGTCTGGTTCCGGACTAGATCTGCAGCTGGGTCTGGTTCCGGACTAGATCTGCAGCTGGGTCTGGTTCCGGACTAGATCTGCAGCTGGGTCTGGTTCCAGACTAGATCTGCAGCTGGGTCTGGTTCTGGACTAGATCTGCAGCTGGATCTGGACCAGAGCTGCAGCTGGTTCTGGACCAGATCTGCAGCTGGGTCTGGTTCCGGACTAGATCTGCAGCTGGATCTGGACCAGAGCTGCAGCTGGTTCTGGACCAGATCTGCAGCTGGGTCTGGTTCCGGACTAGATCTGCAGCTGGATCTGGACCAGAGCTGCAGCTGGTTCTGGACCAGATCTGCAGCTGGATCTGGTTCCAGACTAGATCTGCAGCTGGATCTGGAGCAGAACTGCAGCTGGATCTGGACCAGAGCTGCAACAGGTTTTGGTTCTTGTAACCTTCGGGTCAGTTCGGGTCTTTGAGTCGGTTCTGGTGGCCTTTGATACGGTTTTGGTGGCCTTTTGGTCAGTTCTTGTGGCCCTTAAGTCGGTTCTTGTGACCTTTGGGCGGGTTCTTGTGTCCTTCGGGTCAGTTTGGGTCATTGGGTCGGTTCTTGTGGCCCTTAAGTCGGTTCTTGTGGCCTTTTGATCTAAGCGGGTGCTCTGTCTGGTGTTCTACAGATGACAGCATGTCGGCGACGAGCGTCTCGGACGTCAACGACCGCCTGTCGGCGCTGGAGCTGCGCGTCCAGCAGCAGGAAGACGAGCTGACGGTGATGAAGGCGGCGCTGGCCGACGTGCTCCGTCGCCTCTCTGCATCCGAGGACTCTGCAGCGAGCAAGAAGCAGCACGCAGCGAAAGGTATGGAACTTCAGCCTGTTGCCGTGGCAACACAGGTGAACATGTAGCCAACGGCTCTATGCTGCCCCCTGCAGGTGGCGCCGCCATGCGTGAAGCCTACTCCATGTCCTGCATCTCTAACGGAGGAACGCCTGGACGGAAGAGAGACTCCGCCTCTGTCACCAGGAAGGAGACGATGTCGTCCGCCGCCAAGAGGTAAGAACCCCTCTGGCTCCGCCTCCGCAGGTGGCGGCTCACAGCGAGCCTGGTTCTGGTTCCGGTTCTGCTGGAAGTTCTTCCTGTTAAAGGGAGTTTTCCTCTCTGAACGTTTCTTCTGCAAAAAAAACAAAAACAAGATAAAAATCAGTCAGAAGGTAAGAAAACAGAGAATAGAGGATTTTATTTTGTGATCGCCCGATCAACACTTTCCAGACCCTGTCTGAACATTTCCTTAATCATCTGCTTTACTTCACTGTTTAAGGAGGAGAAGAACGGAGAGACACAGAGAACCAAAGGATCAGTAGATCTGCCTTTTGGTTCAGGGGATCAGACTCCTGGACCAGAACTGTTCTAGTTCTCCGAGTCAGACTCCTGGGCCAGAACTGTTCTAGTCACTGGGGGAAAAAAAAACCACAGAGCAAGTTTCAAAAACTTAGAAAACGTCTGAACAGAAGCTCCCCTGATTCTAGAACCATCCCTGGAGGGCGAGTGTTCTCACCATAGGGTGAACCCTCACCCTTCAACAGTAGGGTGAACCCTCACCATTCCACCGTTGTTAGAACCATCACCCTTCCACCTTAGGGAGAACCCTAACCCTTCCACTGTTGTTAGAAGCCTCGTCCACCCACCTTAGGGTAAACCCTCGCCCTTCCTCCATAGGGAGAACCCTTGTCCTTCCACCTTAGAGAGAACCCTCGCCCTTCCACCGTAGGGAGAACCCTCGCCCTTCCACCGTAGGGAGAACCCTCGCCCTTCCACCGTAGGGAGAACCCATGGCCCTTCCACCGTAGGGAGAACCCTCGCCCTTCCACCATATGGTGAACCCATGGCCCTTCCACCGTAGGAAGAACCCTCACCCTCCTTCCATAGAGAGAACCCTCGCCCTTCCACCGTAGGGTGAACCCTCGCCCTTTCACCGTAGGGAGAACCCTCGCCCTTTCACCGTAGGGAGAACCCTCGCCCTTCCACCGTAGGGAGAACCCTCGCCCTCCCACCGTAGGGAGAACCCTCACCCTCCCACCGTAGGGAGAACCCTCGCCCTCCCTCCGTAGGGAGAACCCTCGCCCTCCTTCCGTAGGGAGAACCCTCGCCCTCCTTCCGTAGGGAGAACCCTCGCCCTTCCACCGTAGGGAGAACCCTCGCCCTTCCACCGTAGGGAGAACCCTCGCCCTTCCACCATATGGTGAACCCATGGCCCTTCCACCGTAGGGAGAACCCTCACCCTCCTTCCATAGAGAGAACCCTCGCCCTTCCACCGTAGGGAGAACCCTCACCCTTCCGCCGTAGGGAGAACCCTCGCCCTTCCACCGTAGGGAGAACCCTCGCCCTTCCACCGTAGGGAGAACCCTCGCCCTTCCACCGTAGGGAGAACCCTCACCCTTCCATTGTAGGGAGAATGCTCACCCTTCCACCGTAGGGATACACTCACCCTTCCATTGTAGGGAGAACCCTCACCCTTCCACCGTAGGGTAAACCCTGGCCCTTCCCCCGTAGGGAGAACCCTCACCCTCCACCATTCCACCCTTGTTTTATCCATTTTTGCTTCTTATTGTTCCTGTTTTTGATGGAGCCTTTTGCAGAGGCCGGAAATTGTTTTTTTAGTTATTGTTTGTAACGTCAAAATCCACAAATACTTTAATCCAAAGACTATTTTGTTACTTTTCTTTTGTCCTTTAAGCATTTTTCGTCATATTTTTGGATTGGGAGAAATCTAAAGCAGTCAGTATTAGAACTTAATTTGTTCTCAGTGTGTGAAAGTTTTTAATTTGCATAAAATCCATGAAGGAAATGATCTAAACATAGAAACGGATCAGAACCGCATTAGAACCTAGTTCCTTCATGGTCCTGGTTTTGTTCACAGCGGCCCAGAGAAGAAGAAGGAGGTGGTCAGCCATCGCTCTCACATGGAGGAGATCCAGGAGCACCAGGAGGTGTCCCCCACAAAGGACCCCTCCCCTGTTCCACCCCACCCCTCCCACAGAGCTTCCCCCCACTCTGAGAGCAGCAGAGGCCACGCCCCTCCTAAAAGGTTCCCCTTTCTGATCGGTCTTCCTTCACTTCCTGCTGATGCTGCTCTGACATCACTGTACTAACTCCGCCCCTGAGCTTACTGTCTCCAGCTCCTGATTGGCTGGTGAAGTTGTTCTTCAGCCAATCAGACATGAGCAGAGCAGGAAGAACTGTCCTTTAGCTGTTTGATGCTTTCAAAGTTCTGATCCGTTATTCTGACGGATCAGTAAAGCTCTCCTTCTGATCTGGTCTTCTGCTAATTTTGGTTCTGACCCAGTTCAGCTAAGCTGCCTTTCAAATCAGCCCCTTAGGTTAATATAAACCTGCTAACTATTCCACTAACCTGCTGATCCTAACATAGTGGTTCTTACTGTTTCCATAGCAACAAACCTCAGACCTGCTTAGGGTCCTGCCCTGCTTCTCCTGCTCCCCCAGCAGATCTCCTCCAGCCTCACTGACCTCCCTCTGTTGTTGCTTTTGGTATCTGTGAAGCAGGAAGTCTCTGAGTTCTGTCTGAGCTATTTTTCAAAATAAAAGCCTAATTAATGCCTGGAGCTGAAATAAATAAACCAACCAGAGAAATGCTGAAAAGGCTGATCAGACATGGCTCAGTGACTCCTCCTGCTCCTTCTTCTCCTCCTCACAGCGATGTGTGTTTGTCCAGGGGTCCCAGCGTGAAGCGGTCTTCAGGGATGGAACGTTCTCAGAGCAGCACCTGGGATTCCTCAGACAGGAACAAGAACAAGCTTGTGAAGGCTGCGTCCACCTCCAAGCTGCTGGCTAAAGCTGTGAAGAACGCTGACAAGTATGCTACCCTCAAATACACCCCACAGCACCCCCCGCAGGTTGATTCACTTCCAACATACTGGACCGATGCCTAGACCTGAGCTCAAGTGTTCAGGAGTGTTCTGGTTTTGGTCGTCTGCCTTGTAGACTACCTTATAGACCCGCAACGTTCATCTGCCTTACAGACCCGCGACGGTCCTTCTGCCTTATAGACCCGCGACGGTCCTTCTGTCTTATAGACCAACGACGGTCCTTCTGCCTTATAGACCAACGACGGTCCTTCTGCCTTATAGACCAACGACGGTCCTTCTGCCTTATAGACCAACGACGGTCCTTCTGCCTTATAGACCAACGACGGTCCTTCTGCCTTATAGACCAACGACGGTCCTTCTGCCTTTTAGAACCGCAACGGTCCTTCTGCCTTATAGACCAACGACGGTCCTTCTGCCTTTTAGAACCGCAACGGTCCTTCTGCCTTATAGACCAACGACGGTCCTTCTGCCTTTTAGAACCGCAACGGCCCTTCTGCCTTATAGACCCGCAAAGGTCCGTCTGCCTTGTACACCCGCGACTTTCCTCTGCTTTACAGACCCGCATCGTTCCTCTGCATTATAGACCCGCAACCTTCCGTCTGCCTTATAGACCCATGACATTCCCTCTGCCTTACAGACCAGCATCGTTCTTCTGCCTTATAGACCTGCGATGTTCCGTCTGCCTTGTAGACTACCTTATGGACCCGCAACGTTCATCTGCCTTATAGATACGCGACGGTCCTTCTGCCTTATAGACCAACGACGGTCCTTCTGCCTTATAGACCAACGACGGTCCTTCTGCCTTATAGACCGACGACGGTCCTTCTGCCTTATAGACCAACGACGGTCCTTCTGCCTTTTAGAACCGCAACGGTCCGTCTGCCTTATAGACCCGCAAAGGTCCGTCTGCCTTGTACACCCGCGACTTTCCTCTGCTTTACAGACCCGCATCGTTCCTCTGCATTATAGACCCGCAACCTTCCGTCTGCCTTGTAGACTACCTTATAGACCCGCAACGTTCATCTGCCTTATAGACCCACAACGTTCATCTGCCTTATAGACCCGCGACGGTCCTTCTGCCTTATAGACCTGCGACGGTCCTTCTGCCTTATAGACCAACGACGGTCCTTCTGCCTTATAGACCTGCGACGGTCCTTCTGCCTTATAGACCCGCAACGGTCCTTCTGCCTTATAGACCAACGACGGTCCTTCTGCCTTTTAGAACCGCAACGGTCCGTCTGCCTTATAGACCCGCAAAGGTCCGTCTGCCTTGTACACCCGCGACTTTCCTCTGCTTTACAGACCCGCATCGTTCCTCTGCATTATAGACCCGCAACCTTCTGTCTGCCTTATAGACCCATGACATTCCCTCTGCCTTACAGACCAGCATCGTTCCTCTGCCTTATAGACCTGCGATGTTCCGTCTGCCTTGTAGACTACCTTATAGACCCGCAACGTTCATCTGCCTTATAGACCCGCGACGTTCCCGTCTGTCTTAGACCCATGACATTCCCGTCATCCCTATAGACCCGCGACTTTCCTTCTGCCCTATAGACCCGCAACATTCCCTCTGCCCTAAATACCCGCGATGTTCCCTCTGCCTTATATACCCGCGATGTTCCCTCTGCCTTACAGACCGGTGGCGTTCTCTCTGCCTTAGACGTTCCCTCTGCCGTACAGACCCGTGATATTCCCTCAACCCTAGACGGTCCGTCTCCTTTACACATCCGCGTTGTTTGATCTACTGATCATGTGTTGAGTTTATGCAGGGCTCTAGTAACCCCTAGTCTGAGATAAGAAATAATGACGTTTTTCTTATCTTTCAGACACAAAGATCCGGTCGTCAGCCAAGGTAATAAACTTTCCTCTCCACCAACCCTCCACATCCACCACCATCATCATCATCTTTATCTGTATGTACCAGAAGGAACCCAGATTCTGGTTCTGAGCGGGTCCAGATGTGTTCTGGGTTCCTACATGCCATGTTGTTTTTGTTGCTGTTGTTAAGTGACCGTGTCTCTGTCTCAAACCAGCCAAAATGTCGACCAGAGAGAAAAACAGCCTAGCTGGTAAGTTCTCCTGGAATCTGCCACCTGGCTAACACTTCCTGTTTTTGGACCAATCACAGCCCTCTCTCTGTGCTTTCATTGGCTGCCCTGCTTTTCCCTTTCCTGTCTGCTCAGATGATGTTGCATCCCACCTTTCTTACCGTACATTTATTTGAGTGGTGAGCAAATCAGAGAGTTTGATTGAATGTCAGAACTGTATCAATTGTCAGAGTTTAACAGCCAATCAAAAATCAGATCTGCATCAGCAGAATCACGGTGGACTAATCACAGGTCGTCTCAGCTGCACACTTTTTCCTGCTAACTTGGGCAAACGAGACTTCCGTTTCCTCAGTCCGAGGGACTGTAGGGTAGATCCCCCCCCCTGTTTCTAACACACTACATTGCCAGAAGTATTTGCTCCCAAATAACTGACACCAGGTGTTCCAGTCCCTTCCATGACCAAAGGGGTAGAAATCATTCTGTGAACTGCAGCCCCTTTCTGTGATACACTGTAGGTCCAGTGGCTCCTAGACAGATGTTCCTCACAGCTGCCAGTGATGTCATAGCAAAGTGACTGGGAGCTACAGGAAGGCTGCCGTAGCCTGCAGCTGCTGAGGTCACCAACTCTCTGCAGGTTCCATCGCTGCAGACCTCCTAACTTCATGTGGTCTTCAGATCCGCTCCAGGACAGTAGGTAGAACTCCGTGATCCACCAGCGGAGGAAAACAGGACAAATCTTCTCCATCTAGTCATCAGATGGACTGTAGCTGGACCAGTTTGGAGATGGGTCCTTCTTCTTCCAACATGACTGAGGAGAAAGCCAGGTCCACAGAGACATGGAGGACATGGACTGGCCCACGCAGGGTTCTGGCCTCTATTCGGTAGAACACTTTTGGGAGGAATGGGAGCCGAGGCTGAGAGACAGACCCTCTCTCCCAGCATTAGTGTCTGACCTCAGCAATGAGCTTCTAGAAGATTCTCCTGAACCCAGAGGACAGCCTTTCCTGAAGAGCTGTGAGGAGAGACCAACTTCGGACCCAAAGAGGAATGCTGAAAGTTCAGAAAGGCAGAGGAGCAAACGCTTCGGCGATATAGACCCCGCCCCCCTCCTGTCCCTCACCAGACATTCCCCAGCCTGCTCTCCCCTTGCTGCAGCTTTCCTGCTCCTGTCCTGGTCTCTGGTTCTAGGATAACCTTAGAAAGCTCCTCCCTGATGTTATGTCTTTAATGTTCTTTCCATCTGGTTGCTTTGTTCATAGGGCACAATGATTAGAATCAGCCTCATTGGTTCCATTTGTTTTTTTTTTAGAGGGAAACGCCATCAAGATGTTCATGCGTGGTAGACCAATCACCATGTTCATCCCTTCAGACGTGGAGAACTACGACGACGTTCGGACCGAACTTCCTCCAGAACGGCTCAAGCTGGAATGGGTGTATCCTTTCAAAGAATGACCCCGTGGGAACCTGGAGATTATGACTAGACTATCCTTAGCAAGTCCGTTCTGCAGGTCCTCAGAAGGTCAATAAATAACCTTCTTCTGTCAACATCCTATTTAGGGTTGTTGACAGACCTCCAAACATTGTCCTGGTGCTTCCTTCAGGTTCCCATGTCTGGTGAACCTGACACTATATAGGAGGACCACAGGTGAATCCCAATAGGACCTGTTTAGAATCCCAGAGGACCTGAGAAGGAAATCCTTAGAACAGTAGTTCTCACTGGAACACGGTAGAACCTAAGGGGACCTTAGTAGAAGCTGATGGACATCTAGTAGAACCTCAGTGGTTTCCTTGACTCTCTGCAGGTACGGTTACCGTGGCAGGGACTGCCGGGCCAATGTCTACTTGCTTCCAACTGGAGAGATTGTTTACTTCATTGCGTCTGTGGCGGTTCTCTTCAACTACGAGGAGCGCACTCAGAGACATTACCTGGGACACACGGACTGCATCAAATGGTGAGAACCTCTCCGCATCACTTCCTCTTCCGCCACTGGCTGTTTTCTGGTCGTGACTTGGTGTGTTTCTGTGCGGCAGTCTGGCCATCCATCCAGATAAGATCAGAATCGCGACCGGACAGATCGCCGGAGTGGACAAAGACGGACGTGTAAGCAGAACCTCCAGTTGGACTTTATGTAAAGGTTAAGTTGGAGGAACCGAAGTTCCTCAGTGAACAGAACGTAGATTCTGATGGTCTAGATGAAAGAACTCTGTAAGTCTAGAGAAGTTCTGGCATTCTAGGATTAGGGAATTACACCACAGACACGGCAGAACCATGCAGTTGGGTCGGCCAGAAGAGCTGTAGACGTTGGGACGTCCAATAACCCGGCTGCTTCTGTGTTCCAGGCACTGCAGCCTCACGTCCGGGTCTGGGACAGCGTCAGCCTGTCCACCCTGCAGGTCATTGGTCTGGGAACCTTTGAAAGGGGTGTCGGGTCTCTGGCCTTCTCCAAAGCTGTAAGTATCTTCTCATCAGCCACAGACTTCCTGCTGTTTGGAGGCTTCTGAGCAAACTTGTGGTCTACAGGACTCTGGTCAGCACCTGGGTGTTATCGACGACTGCAACGACCACATGTTGACCGTCTGGGAATGGCAGAAGAAGTCAAAGATAGCAGAAATCAAGGTGAGATGCTTCTACTTGTTCTCAGATAAACGGACCTAAAGACCTGGTTCTAAACGTTTTCTCTGTCTCTCTCTCAGACTACCACTGATGTGGTTCTGGCCGTGGAGTTCCACCCCACCGACCCGGCCACCATCGTCACTTGTGGAAAGTTCCACATCTTCTTCTGGAGTTGGAACGGGACCTCGCTGCTCCGGAAGCAGGGGCTGTTTGGGGTAAGGTCAGCGGTACTGTTAGTGGGGTTCTGTTCATCTTCAGGAACTCAGGTCCAAAAGGTTCCTCCGTTAGCAGGACACTAAACCCACACTAAAGATCCGTTGGTTCCTCCCATCCCATCCATTGGTCTGGAATGAGGTTGAGGTCAGGACATTATTGGACCAGCGGCATCTGAATGATGTCAACAGAGAAGCTTGGTTTAGGAGCCCCTGAAACCGGGTTCTGCACTGATGATAGGTTCTGGAAAGCTGGGAGAACTGAACCGCCTTACACAATGCCAGCAGAACCTCAGAAGGAAGCAGGTTTCTGAACCTGGAAAATGTCTTCCAGTCCACATCTGGTTCCGGTCCAACACTGGTTCCTAGCCAGTCGGCACCAGAACAGCAGAACCTATCTGTCTCTGGTTCTGTGGGTTCTTTAGCTATGACCCGGTTGTTGTTGGTGACCCGTATCTTTAACTCTCTCTGATTGGCTCCTGCTAGCTCTAATACTTTGGACCCTGAAGGTTTTGTTTAGGTCCAGTTTTCCAGTTTTGCTGATCAGAACCACTGTTTTTTTCCCAATAGTTTAGAGGTTCTGAAAGAACTGAAACGGATCAGAACTTTCATTACTGGTGGTGAAAAAGCAAACTGGTCCTTTGTCAGAACCCGGTTCTTCTATCAGGTCGGCAGAGCCAACGATCAGAACTTTCTCTAGCAGGAACCCTTGCAGCACCAAGTTCTGTTTGTTCTGGGGAACCTCCAGAACCTTTACTTTAGGTTGTGGTTCCTAAGGTCAGAACAGAAGAAGGTTCTGCTGCCCTTCAGTGTGAAAAGTCCAGTAGAACCACTAAAGTCCAGTACTGGTCCCAGTCTAACCATGTCCTCTCTCTGATCAGAACCACGACAGGCCCAAGTTCATCCAATGTCTGACGTTCCGGGCCAACGGAGATATCCTGACCGGAGACTCTGCTGGACAGCTCCTGGTTTGGACCAGAACCCTTGCCGAGGCACCTCCTGGGAAGGGACCGCAAGGTGGGGAAGCGGCGCCGGGTCGGATGTCTGTAATCGGGTCGGTGATGTTCTGTCGTGCAACCGTTGGCGGCATTCCTCAGTGGGACGGATCCGGACAGGTTCCTGCCGCGCCTCTAATGGTTTCAGGTTCCTGCCAAACTGGGTCGGCTGGGTTCTGAGGAAAAACCGCCGCCTGCGGGTCGGTTCCTGCCTGGCTCAGCACGCTGGTCCTGGACCAGCGCCAGACATGAACTGCCTTCAGCCGGCGGTTGGAATGCCTAGAGCAGGAAACGAGTCAGAACATAGCGGGTCAGAGCGGTTCTGCTTTGGATCTAAAGCAGATGAACCCATCGAAACTCAGCCACCGGTACCGGTGGACCCCTGCTGCAGGGAAGGAATTCTGGTTCTGATATGATAAAGGCTTTCTTAACCCAGGAATAGAACCACATCTGTAGATCCATCCCACCTGGAGTGCACCATGAAGATCCGGTTTACTCAGAACCCTCTCAGAACCCAATCGGAACCCTCTTAGAACCCAATCAGAACCCTCTTAGAACCCACTCAGAATCCTCTCAGCTGTAGTTGCGATTCCTCTCGTCCAGTTTGAGCGTCTCCACCCTGTCTGGGTTCCCTGCTTCTGGACCTCAGTCATCCTGAGGTCCGGATCGAGACCCGGTTCCGCCCGTCTGTCTGCTTTAGAATGAATTCAGCCTCCTGAGGCGCAGGGCGGGTTCTGTAGGGTTCTGGTTCTAAATCATTCTTCCTAAACGGTGCTGGAGCCGAGCTCAGAACCGGGCCAGAGGCCTGTGCTGTGATGTGTTTCTGTGCTGTTGGTTCTGGTCCAGTTTAGTGGTGTTCTGTTTGCAGCGTTCCACATGAGGACAGACCTCGGGCCCCTGGAGGCCCATGAGAAAGGCGTGTTCTGCATGTGTGAGCTGAGGAGCGGCTGTCTGCTGACTGGAGGAGCCAAGGACCGCAGAGTCGTCTTGTGGGACCACCAGCTGCACCTGGACCGCGACTTGGAGGTCTGAGACACACGCCCGCCCGCCTGGCGCAGTATCCTGGAGCGCTGAAGTCACATGACATTCTGTGTCTCCAGGTCCCGGATCAGTACGGCCACATCAGAGCGCTGGCAGAGGGAAAGGGTGATGAGTTCCTGGTCGGGACGTCCCGTAACTTCATCCTGAGAGGAACCTTCAACGATGGCTTCCAGGTGGAGGTCCAGGTGAGGTCACGGCGTCCTCAGAGGAGCGACTTCCTGTTTCACAGCCAGGAAATGCCTTCACGGTCCCTGTGCCTGTGTCTTTCAGGGTCATACCGATGAGCTGTGGGGTCTGGCCACCCATCCATCCAGGGAACTGTTCCTGACCTGCGCTCAGGACCAGCTGGTCTGCCTCTGGAACTCGGTGGATCACAGCCTACAGTGGAGCCGCAGCCTAGAGGTGAGAAAAGGGAGGAGAAGCAGGAGGAGGAGGAAGATGCACTGTGGGACAGGAGGAATTTCACCAAGGATCATGGGATCGGGATGGTTAAGGAATAACAGAGGATTGAAAGGTTCACGGTACAGTGGACTAGGACGGCTCTACAGGACTGGGGCAGGTCCAAAGGACTTGGAGGGCAGGCCCTCTGGGGGAGGGACAAGAGGACTGGGGGAGGGACAGGACTGGGACGGGGCCCATAGATTGTGGGCGGGTGGTTTAATTGTTGTTGGACTCACAGCTGTGTCTGTCCTGCAGGAACATGGACACTGTGCGGAGTTCCATCCCAGTGGATCAGTGGTGGTCATTGGAACACACTCTGGGAAGTCAGTATTAATATCCTGGTGTCTAACTGATCCGTCAGGTTCTGCCGAGGTTCTAACTGATCCTTCCCCCCAGGTGGTTTGTTCTGGATGCTGAGACCTCCGATCTAGTTGGGATCCACACAGACGGGAACGAGCAGCTGTCAGTCCTGCGTTTCTCAGTTGGTGGGTTGAGTCTGCTGTAATGTCACTGATGTGAAGGACTACAGTTCCCATCATGCCGCTCTGTGTTGTCTGCAGATGGCAGCATGCTGGCTGTGGGATCTCATGATAACTTTATTTACCTCTACAACGTCTCGGATCGAGGACGGAAGTACAGCCGCTATGGGAAGTGCACGGTGAGACTGTTGCCATGGTGACCCTCTAGTATTCAGTGGCATTAAAACCCGTGACATCTGGTAAACTCAGACGAACCAGCCCTCTGTTAGAAACACGGGGCTGGTTCTGGTCCGATCAGGAACTAGAATCAGTGGTTCTAGTCCGATCAGGAACCAGTCTGAGCTGATGGTTCCTCTGATGTTTCCACAGGGACATTCCAGCTACATCACACACCTGGACTGGTCTCCTGACAACAAGTTCATCATGTCCAACTCTGGAGACTACGAGATCCTGTACTGTGAGTACTAAAGTAGTACAGCGGTACTCTGACCTGGTAGTACTGCGGTAGTTTGACCTGGTAGTACTGCGGTAGTTTGACCTGGTAGTACAGCGGTAGTTTGACCTGGTAGTACAGCGGTACTCTGACCTGGTACAGCGGTACTCTGACCTGGTAGTACTGCGGTAGTTTGACCTGGTAGTACTGCGGTAGTTTGACCTGGTAGTACTGCGGTACTGAGAAGTTGTAGTACTCTCCTGCAATGCTACCCAGAGCTCTCCTTTCAGGGGACATCCCGAGCGGCTGCCAGCTGATCCGGAACCGCTCCGAGTGTAAGGACATCGACTGGGCCACCTACACGTGTGTCCTGGGGTACCACGTCTTTGGTCAGTACCTCCGGCTGGGATTAGCGATGCGTTCTGGTTCGTTCTGCTGGTTCTGATGGAATGTGGTGTCTCTCAGGTGTTTGGCCCGAAGGTTCTGACGGCACCGACATCAACGCTCTGATGAGGTCCCACAACAGGAAGGTGATCGCTCTGGCGGATGACTTCTGTAAGGTCCACCTGTTCGCCTACCCCTGCTCCAGATTCAAGGTCAGTCCTAGAACCGCCACCCGGACCAGGCAGAGTCAGAATGTGCTCCCGTTAATGGCCCCCATCTCTGCAGGCTCCCAGCCATAAGTACAGCGCCCACAGCAGCCATGTGACCAACGTCAGCTTCCTGTACAGCGATAGCCACCTGATCTCCACGGGGGGGAAGGACACCAGCATCATGCAGTGGCGTCTGGTCAGGAAGTCCTCCCTGTCCCTCTCAGACGGCATCATCTCCAAGTCCGCCCCCCGCAGGGTTGACCCAGTGTTGGCCACGCCTCCTACGGTGGCCGCCTCTCCTACAGTGGCCACACCTCCTCTGCCAGAAGCCGCTCCGGTCCAGGAACCGTCTAATCATGTCTCCCCGCTGGCTGAAGTAGCTCCGCCCACCTCAGAGTCCACCCCGCCCCCCTCAGACAGCACGATGAGCCTGAAGGACAGCCTGGAGACGAGCGACGACACGGCCACGCCCAGCGACGAGGGCCTGCCCCCCCTCACCCCGTCCTCCTAGAGAGGCGGCTTCTCCTCCTCCAGGTGCTGCTTCCTCTGGACTCTGGGTGGAGGAGACGACCTCAGAACGCCCGCTAAGACTCAGAACCACCTCAGGAAGTGTGGATCTCTGGTCCATCTGAACCCACAGCTTCCAGGTCAGTAACTATCCACGTGGCGTCAGCGGCGAGCTGCCAGGAGCTGCTCTCCTCCGATCACAGCCGCTCCGTGTTCCAGCGCTGTCTGCAGGGGGCGGGGCCTCCCACACCTGTCCCCCTCTGAAAGCTGGAGGCGGCATAGGAACTGTCCTGATCCTGTCTGCCACAGGGGGCAGCAGCGATCTTTCTTCACTTTTTGTAGAACAAACTGGGGCCGTTTTCCTGCGACCTGAGGGCTTCATCCTGGGTTTCTGGAGACGTTGGAGGTTTCAGTTTGAGGGGAAACCTTGACATTTAGTTGGAAATCGGCTAAAAGCAAATGCTTTATGCTCAAACTCTTCAGTCAGAGTAAGACAGGTGTTCAAAATCTGTGAACTAAAAAGTGAATATCTGTTCACGATCAAACCGTCACTGAAGGAAGCAAACTGCTGCAGGCTTTTATTCTGAAATCAGAACACATTCAGGTTTCACTCGAACTTAAATTATTCATGAATAAAACAAAAATCTAAATGTTTCAAGTCCATTCAAACCGATTTAGATTCCGGTTGTTACAGGTGCTGGTCATAAAATTAGAATATCATGAAAAAATAGATTGATTTCAGTAATTCCATTTAAAAAGTGAAACTTGTATATTATATTCATACATTACATAAAAACTCATATATTTCAGATGTTTATTTTGTTTAATTTTGATGATTACAAATGACAACAAATGAAAATCTCAAATTCATCATATCAGAAAATTAGAATATTACTGAAGACCAATAAAAACAAAGGATTTATAGAAATGTTGGCCAACTGAAAAGTATGAACATGAAAAGTATGAGCATGTACAGCACTCAGTATTTAGTTGGGCCTCCTTTGGCCTGTATTACTGCAGCAATGCGGCGTGGCATGGAGTCGATCAGTCTGTGGCACTGCTCAGGTGTTATGATAGCCCAGGTTGCTCTAATAGTGGCTTTTAGCTCTTCTGAATTGTTGGGTCTGGTGTATTGCATCTTCTTCTTCACAATACCCCATAGATTTTCTATGGGGTTAAGGTCAGGAGAGTTTGCTGGCCAATTAAGAACAGGGATACCATGGTCCTTCAACCAGGTACTGGTAGCTTTGGCACTGTGTGCAGGTGCCAAGTCCTGTTGGAAAATGAAATCTGCATCTCCAAAAAGTTGGTCAGCTGCAGGAAGCATGAAGTGCTCTAAAACTTCCTGGTATGTGGCTGCGTTGACCCTGGACCTCAGAAAACACAATGGACCAACACCAGCAGATGACATGGCACCCCAAACCATCACTGACTGTGGAAACTTTACACTGGACTTCAAGCAACGTGGATGAAGTGCCTCTCTTCTTTTCCTCCAGACTCTGGGACCTTGATTTCCAAAGGAAATGTAAAATTTACTTTCATCAGAGAACATGACTTTGGACCACTCACCAGCAGTCCAGTCCTGTTTCTCTTTAGACGCTTCTGACGCTGTCTGTGGTTCAAGAGTGGCTTGACACAAGGAATGCGACAGCAGAAACCCATGTCTTTCATACGTCTGTGTGTGGTGGTTCTTGAAGCACTCACTCCAGCTGCAGTCCACTCTTTGTGAATCTCCCCCACATTTTTGAAGGGGTTTTGTTTCACAATCCTCTCCAGGGTGCGGTTATCTCTCTTGCTTGTACACTTTTTTCGACCACATCTTTTCCTTCCCTTCGCCTCTCTATTACTGTGCTTGGACACTGAGCTCTGTGAACAGCCAGCCTCTTTAGCGATGACCTTTTGTGTCTTGCCCTCCTTGTGCAAGGTGTCGATGGTCGTCTTTTGGACAACTGTCAAGTCAGCAGTCTTCCCCATGATTGTGTAGCCTATAGAACTAGACTGAAAGACCATTTAAAGGCTTTTGCAGGTGGTTTGAGTTAATTAGCTGATTAGAGTGTGGCACCAGGGGCCATCAATTTTGAACCTTTTCACAATATTCTAATTTTCTGATATGATGAATTTGAGATTTTAATTTGTTGTCATTTGTAATCATCAAAATTAAACAAAATAAACATCTGAAATATATGAGTTTGTATGTAATGTATGAATATAATATACAAGTTTCACTTTTTAAATGGAATTACTGAAATCAATCTACTTTTTCATGATATTCTAATTTTATGACCAGCACCTGTAATTTTCAGGAGCTCCACACTGTTGCTAACAGGAAACCAAACAGGATGCAAACAGGAAGTGTTTCTTGGGCAAAGTTGACCTTCAGGTTGAAAAACTGTGACATGTCGATACAGAGAACCAATCAGAATGAAGCCTCCCTCTTGCACCAATCGATGATAGTAAGCCCTCCTGTAAGCAAAGGATCTGTTTGTATATCCTGCAGACTTTTGTGTATATTTCTGCTCACCACTAGAGGGCAGCACCTCCACAGTCACTTTAATGAACATCTCTCATCCAACTGGGTGACAGGAGAGGGAGGCTCTTTGTTCTGATTGGTTGCTCTCAGTGACTCTGCTAGTGATGTTTTTGTTTGTTCTGGACCATTTCGCTTCAGGCTGTTGAATGTGCTGATGATGTCATTCTGGGTGGGGGCGGGACTTTGATCTTGCTTTTTTTTCTTACTGATTTTTGTATTTTGTATGTCTCTGAAGGGCTTCTGTGGAAGATGTTCAGGTTGGGGCGGGGCCATGTGAGGGGGCGGGGCTTTTTGTTTTAAACGACATTGATCCTCATTAATGATTATTTTTATGTGAATGTTTTGAGCCAATCATCTTCTCTCATGCATTCCTGTCAGAGGACAGATTGTACTGAAGATTTTAACAGCAAAATGCAAATAAACGTTACCATGGTGACAGCCCAGCCAATCAGCTTCATCTTTGCTCGAAATGATGAACATTTTTCAATTCAATTTCAATTCAGTTTATTTATATAGCGCCAAATTCACAACACACGTCATCTTAAGGCACTTTACAGTTCAACCAGATAACACAGTCACATTGATAGAAAGTTTTCTATCTAAGGAAAACCAGTTGATTGCATCGACTCATTGACTCTTCAGCAATCCCTCACACTAAGCATGCTTGTAGCGACAGTGGAGAGGAAAACCTCCCTTTGAACAGGAAGAAACCTCCAGCAGAACCAGGCTCAGTGTGAGCGGCCATCTGCTGAGGCCCACTGGGGTTCAAGGAGACAGAAGCAGAGATACAAAAAGCAGCTGTAAAAGGCGGCCCCATCCAGGAAACACACAGCCAGGCAGACGAGCTCCGAGCCAGCTCCCATGTCAGAGGATGAAGAGAGCACATCCACTCAGTCACAGTCAGAGAAACAGGACTACACTGGAAAACAGGCCAAGCTCCAACATCTAGAAACAAAGGTGTTGATGGCAGCAGCACAGCTGATATTTCTCTCCAGGATGGAGTCACAGCCAAACAGGAACAGACCAGATGAAGCTACTATGAGAAAAAGCAGAGAGAGCAGAACGTTAGAGATTGAACTAACAGATTCTGCAGAGTGGGAGAATAGAGATAGAATGAAGCAGAATGATGAAAAAGGGGTCCCTATGTCCTCCAGCAGTCTAAGCCTATAGCAGTAGAACTATAGAGATAGCTCAGGATAACCTGAGCCACTCTAACTAGAAGCTTTATCAAAAATGAAAGTTTTAAGCCTAGCCTTAAAAGTAGACAGGGTGTCTGCCTCACGGACTAAAACTGGTAGTTGGTTCCACAGGAGAGGAGCCTGAGAACTAAAAGATCTGCCTCCCATTCTACTTTTAGAAATTCTAGGAACCACTAGTAAACCTGCAGATTGAGAGCGAAGTGCTCTGTTAGGAACATAAGGAACAATCAGATCTCTGATATCAGATGGAGCTTGGCCATTTAAAGCTTTATATGTGAGAAGGAGGATTTTAAATTCTATTCTGGATTTAACAGGAAGCCAATGAAGAGAAGCCAGGATAGGAGAGATGTGATCTCTCTTTTTCATTTTCATCAGAACTCTGGCTGCAGCATTTTGGATCAGCTGAAGGCTTTTAACTACAGTTTGTGGACTTCCTGATAGTAAAGAATTACAATAGTCCAGCCTTGAAGTAACAAATGCATGGACTAGTTTCTCAGCATCACCCCTGGACAGGAGATTTCTCATTTTTTCAATGTTCCTCAGATGAAAGAAGGAAATTCTAGAAACCTCTTTGATATGGGATTTAAATGACAGGTCCTGATCAGAAATAACACCAAGATTTTTTACTTTATTATCTGAAATCAGTTTAATCCCATCCAAATGAAGTGACTGACTAATCAGCTTCTTTTTCAAAGACTCTGGTCCAAAGACTATAACTTCTGTTTTGTCTGCATTCAGAAGCAGAAAGTTAAGAGTCATCCAGGTTTTTATGTCTTCAGACATGCCTGTAATCTATGTAATGAGTTAGCTTCATCTGGATTATAGACAGATATAGCTGGGTATCATCAGCATAACAGTGGAAATTAATCCCATGCTGTCTAATAATTCTACTGATTGGGAGCATGTATAAAGTAAAGAGAATTGGTCCTAGCACTGATCCCTGTGGTACTCCACAGGTAACATTTTCTAAAACACAATGACATTAACTTGAAACAAATACAAATAAAAAAAGCAGCCAAATAATCAAGAAATGACAGAATGTGTGGAAGCCTTTCTAAATAAAAATCTTAAAGTGTCCTACATTTATTTTTTTCCTTTTTACAAAAAAACAACAAAAATTTTGAATACGGTAATAAAAAAAATGCGCTTATCAAGTTAGAGTATTATAAAGGTAAGTTTACTGAGGTAGTACGCAAACCACCTGAACTAGTCTGGATTGAACTCATTAACTGATATTTGACCTTTAATAAAATCCAAATCCTGGAGCATTTTGTTGACTGCTGTATGACTGAAATAAGTAGCTTCATTGTATTTAAACATGTGTTTACTTAGGATTAAAAACTCGATGTTTGAAGGAGACATCATGGCATCAGGTGGACGCGCTGCCAGACCTGCAGCGGACATCAGTACATCCTCCAGAGACGCAGCTGCACTAATTAAAGTCAAAATTGTTGTTGCTGGACTGCAGATTTTTTACATAAATCTGTTATTAGCAACCTACAGAATGGAATAGATAAAATGCCCAAAAGCCAAGGCTTTGAAACTGCCTGTTGGTTCCAACTGGACTGAGATTTGGCCTGAGCTCGCTGTCAGGGATTTGGCATCCATCCATCATTCATCCATCATCCGTCCATGGATGATGGAGCCCTTGATCGGCACCATCACTTAGTGTAGTGAGGGGCTGTGTGGGGCATCCTAAGTGGTGCGGGGGTGGGCGCTCGGAGTGGGGTACCTGCTGGGTGTGACCCCGGGGTCTGTAACCCCCATCGGGACGGGGCTTGGGACGTCGGGGCATCGTACGGCGGCCACTTGTGGTGCTCTTGGGGGGGGTTCCGTGGTAGCGGACGTGGGCTACTGGCCAGGTAGCTGTGCTGCTGGGTGGGTCTGGGGTCCCTGGGGCGCATTGCCCTCAGGCGGGTGCCCCGGCGGGGCGTCTGGGGTTTTGGTTCTGTTTCGGCGAGAGCGTATCGGGAGACGGAGACCAACAAGACCTCCCTCATCCTTGGCCCTATCTCAAAGAATTTTTAGAAATAGTCGTAAAATTGAGCTTTCAGTTCATATAGTTGCTTCTGGATGTTTTTATTAAAGGTTACTTTATACTTTTATATTTTAAGTAGTTTTTGGAGCAAATACTTTTTCACTTTTACTTGAGTAAAGAGGTTAAGTTGATACTTCAACTTTTACCAGAGTGTTTTTAAACTGCAGTATCTAAACTTCTACTTAAGTAACACATGTGTGAACTTTTGACACCACTGTATTAAACAAACCAAAATCTCCTGTCACTGAGTTATAGAATCCTCTCCCTATAAATATTGAATTCTCTGTGAATTATTACAGATAATTTTTTAATAAGATCCTCGTCAAACGGACATGAAATGTTTGTTTTTAAAACCTAATGTGTCTAAAGGACCTAGTTATTTTTTCAAGGCCAAAACTACGACAAATCGGACTAAATCAGGAACTAAAACAGCGTGATTGGTTGTAAGGAGACAGAGGAGAATCTGAGTTTACTGAAGGAAACCTGCTGCTGACCAGGTTAGCTCTGGGAGGATGTTACCATGGCAACAGAAACAGGTTGAGGGAGCTCTCTTTGTGAAACAGAAAAGTCAGTTTCCCTGATTTCAGGTTAAGAAAACTTGGAGTTTTCCATTGAACCTTCTTTGTTAAACAGACCTCAGATTACAGACAATAAGAGGAAGAGGAAAAAGATCAAGCTAGTTTTATTATTATTATTGATTTAGTTTAGGGTTACCTCAAAAGAAACAGTAATAACAATACTTAGTAAAGTATATACCACATTAAACATGGCACAATTGTGTGTTCTCAGAACGGAACCGTGACTCAACAGAACCTCATAACTGAACCATGACTCACTAGAACCTCAGGACTGAACCATGACTCGGCAGAACCTGGGAATTGAACCATGACTCAGCAGAACCTGGGAATTGAACCCTGACTTGGGCCTGAGTCAGCAGATCTAAACCAGCCTGTGAGGGTGTTTCTGACCCGGAGTTCATGGGTTCAGGACAGTTTGTTTATGGATCCTTATCAGCAGAGGATAAAAGTCCAGCTTCGTTTGTTCAAATCAGTTGTTTTTCTTTCCAGAACATTTTAGACCCAAAGAACCAGAAACATGAAGGTCTGTCTGCTGCTGGTTCTGCTGCTGCCGCTCTGCTACGGTAAGAAAATTCTGTTCCCATGTTTAGAACCCAACTATCAGGACCGGGAGGAAGTCAAACTGACTTTAGAACCAGACTTTGTTTGGAACCAAATGTTCTGATCTGCAGATTGGATCAAACATCATTCTGGGATCGATGCTCTGCTGAAACTCCCTTTTAACAGGATAACTCAGGGTTCTACTCAGCCGACCTGGGTCTGAATCCCAACCGGACCCTTAGCTGCATGTCCCTCCATCGTTCTCATGTGTCTGCTGTGAAAAAGAAAATTGTTTTAGTGACATCATCTAGGATTCAACAGAATAGTTCTGTTCAGTCGGGCCACCGTTAAAGACAGGGTCCAGTTGTTGATATTCGCATCCTTAGAGCTCTTTGGTGCAATTCTAATAACAAGCATCTACATGTTCTACATCCCAATTAAACCTGTCCTCCAGAGAGCCCGGGCAGTCTGCTCAGGGGCACAGCATGGCATTCTGGGTGTTGAACCAGGGACCTCGCAGCCACTTTAGGAGCTCAGTTCTCTGACCTCTAGACTGGATAAAAGGGCAACGGATCTAACCTGAGGGTTGGTTCTGACTGGTTCTGTTTTTCCTGCAGCCCAGTTCAACATCCACTGCTATGGAGAAGATTTCCTGATGGTCAACAACATGCTTCTGCAGTGCACCGGGAAGGTCCAACAGGCCTGTTACACCAGAGGTGAGTCCTGGACCTGCCCCTCGGGCCCCGTGGCTCAGACTGAAACCCAGTTTTCTGTCTTAGATCTTCAGGTTCTTAACGAGCAGATATATTAGTCCAACACCTGCTGTGGGTCTTATTACTTGGTCCCAGATCCGATCCAGACCGGGTTCTGGTAAAAGTGGATCTGAAAGTGAAGAATGAGGCTGGATGAGGATCCAGTTGATAATGATCCAACCTCTGACCTGGTTCTGACCCCAAAAATGGGTCCATGGGACTGAAGTTGAAGCAGGGATGTTACTGGTTAGCAGAGAGCTACCGTTCCATCATGGTTCTTCATCCCATGCTGAGTTCTGAAAATGGGCCGGTGCATGAAGAATCAATGAGAATTGGTTCCATATCTTCAATTCTCCTGAAATCGTTCAATTTTAAATGTAATTTTTATGCCAAGTATTTTCCCCCAAAGTCTCTCTTCCTGTCAGACCCATGAATGTGCTGCTGAATTACTGACTGAAATAGACCTGAGATCTGAGATAGACTCTTTCCCGCTTTAGCCATTTTCTTGTGAGGGCCTTTTTGCTTTCTGCCAGCAAAATGTATAAGTTCTGATCATTATATTTCAGTTTGTCGACTGTTATATTACACAGAAATGTGCATTCAAAGGTTAAAGGGAATTTAAATGTGAAAATGTAAATCTTGATGAATTTGAGACCAATATTGCTGGATGGTTTGACAACTCTGGAGAATATGGGAATGATTGGCAGCATCCCTGCCCCATCTCCAGCAGGTGTCGCCATTTCCCTCATATCTTTTTTGCTCTACAGTTATGAAAAATTTTATAATGCTTTTAGAGCTAAATTCAGGCCAAACCTTTGATCTCGTCCATGATATCTTACAGATGTGTTCCCAGTCGTTCTCTGGAATCGTCAGGCCACTTTCTTTTTCCCACTTTAACATAAACGGAGCTGTTCTTACACTGCAGGACAGCGTTGTACAACCTACAAACATTTTTGCCTGTTTTTGATTTAGTTAATATAAATGTTTCCACAAATCTCAAACTATGTAAATGTGCTTTAGATCCTGATAAAAATAATTTCTGACCTGTAGATATCTGAAAAACTCATCTGCACATAAATCATATTTACTTTTCAAGGTATCAAAGCATTGGAGCGCCCCCTTATGGAAAAAAAGAATAGTAACTAGTTAGGCCTTTTGAAATCTATTTCTTGAACCTATCATCATGTTGGTTGGTTAAAATCTAAGTCATAATCGCACCATCTTAAACCTTTACAGCCCTTTTCTAACCCACGTATTGCTTTATTCCAGGCAGATTTCATTACTTGTGATATTGGCTCATCTGCCAGAGGAATTTTGCTTTGCAGTTTTGCGTCGACTATTATGGCTTTAATCGATATTGTCTTGAATGTTTCCCCTTCCACAGCGTTCCATCCCGCAGTGTAATCCAGGCAGCATAAACATAACAAATTCTATTTCTTAATTATAACACAGATTAATGGGCTCGCCGCTCACTCTTGAAAACACTGAACATAAACATAGGAAAAAGTCAATATTAAGGACAAGCAAAACTCAAACTGAACTCTTGACTTCCAAGGTGGGGGTCTCGAATGTGGACCCTTCTTCATCCCCAATGGCGGCTTCCTCATAGGTTAATGAAGGGGCCCCTGGTGGCTATGGTCTCAGTATAGAGAGAAACCTAACTTTATTACTTATGGTACATCATAAACCAAATGCAAGTCTTATTACTATCAGAATGGTTAAACCTCCGTGGGCATGGTTTGAAGTCCTATTTAAGGCTCTAAGTTTTTCTTTGTATCCGGATGCAGGGTCTTGCCTCTTGTTTACCTCACCTCTGCATACCCTGCTCCAGGTCAGCTGCTTCAGTTGTTCCAAAACCAACCTGCACAGCGTAGCCTCTGCAGGACATATCTTAAGTAGCTTCCACCACCGTGTTGCAAATCTTTGTTTCATCGGCATATTTCACCCTCAGCCGGGTGGAAAGAAGGTCTGAAAAGGGATCCGTTTCTCCTTCAGGATCCTTTGCACGGATCTTTTAGTTTTTTCAATCAGAGGGGGCTAGTCATGATCCAATCTCACTGGCTTGCCATTCCATGTAAAATATTTTTTCTGCCATGCCTTGCTAAGGAGGAGTTCTTAGGTTTTAAAACTGAGGAATTTCACAATATTAGACTGGTGTGGAGCATTGCTTGAGGGTGGAGGGCCTAGAGAGCGCTGCGCCGGTTCAATCTGTATGTCGAGCTCGCCTTAGGACAGCGCCAAGCCCTCATGGAGCAACTTCTCCACAAAGTCACCCATTGATGCCGAGTCCTGTTCTGCCAACTAAGGTACTCCATAAATGCATATGTTCTCTCTTCGTGTACGGCTCTCTAGCTCCATTAGTATATCCTCCAGCTTTATCTGTAGCTTCATTATTTCAGCGTTGTCCTCTGTGATTAAAATCCTCTCCTCCGCTTTTTCAATCCGACCCTCCGTCTCATCTAGTCTGGCGTTCATCTTTTGAATATCTTCTTTAAATTCCCCCAGATACACATTATTTTCCTGTTGGAAACCTCTTAATTCCTTCAACGCCGTCCCCCATTCAGCCATGTTACTACTGTTGCATGCTTAGCTCAAATCAAATGCAGCAGCCATACTTCTTCAAAGCAGAGGTTTGAGGTAAATAGCAGTTAGCATTAGCCGAAATGTTAGATATATTTCCTCGGCCTAAAACGTCCACTTTTTGCACTACAAAGCATCGGTTTTGAAACCCACTAACTGAACAATGAGGTTATAAACTCAGTCAGGAAGCCTTCTTGCTGCAATACTGTCTCCTCCAGCTCAGACAAACTTCCTAGAACCGCACCACAGTCAGAATCAATTCATCCCAGCTCGGTGATGGGTTAAAGGTGTGATGCACCCGCCAAGATACACCCACCGAGATGGGTTGAAGGCGTGATGCAACCGCCAAGAAGCGCCCACCGAGATGGGTTGAAGGCGTGATGCAACCGCCAAGGTACGCCCACCTAGATGGGTTAAAGGCATGATGCACCCGCCAAGGTACGCCCACCGAGATGGGTTGAAGGCGTGATGCAACCGCCAAGAAGCGCTCACCGAGATGGGTTAAAGGCGTGATGCACCCGCCAAGGTACGCCCACCGAGATGGGTTAAAGGCATGATGCACCCGCCAAGGTACGCCCACCGAGATGGGTTAAAGGCATGATGCACCCGCCAAGGTACGCCCACCGAGATGGGTTAAAGGCGTGATGCACCCGCCAAGGTACGCCCACCGAGATGGGTTAAAGGCGTGATGCACCCGCCAAGGTACGCCCACCGAGATGGTTTAAAGGCGTGATGCACCCGCCAAGGTACGCCCACCGAGATGGGTTAAAGGCGTGATGCACCCGCCAAGATGCGCCCACCAACATGGGTTAAAGGCATGATGCACCCGCCAAGGTACGCCCACCAACATGGGTTAAAGGCGTGATGCACCCGCCAAGGTACGCCCACCAACATGGGTTAAAGGCGTGATGCACCCGCCAAGATGCGCCCACCGAGATGGGTTATAGGCGTGATGCACCCGCCAAGAGGCACCCAGGAGATGGGTTATAGGCGTGATGCACCCGCCAAGAGGCACCCAGGAGATGGGTTAAAGGCGTGATGCACCCGTCAAGGCACGCCCACCAACATGGGTTAAAGACCTGATGCACCCGCCAAGAGGCCTGATGAAAAGTATCCAAAAACTAGTTCTAGATCTCATCTAAGTTCATCTGTTTGGAACCAGTTAGAACCATTTCCAACATTTAATGATTTTAATATTTATCATTCTTTTCAAAGTTCAGAGAACCAACTTTTCTCTGAGACTAAACTAAACATAGGACCAAAAAACACAGCCAAGAACCATCTAGCCCAATGGCTGGTCCAACAGAACCTCATTCCAGTTTAGAGCTGACATTACACCTAGACTAAGCCCTTCTGACTGTTCGGTCACCTTCTACTCCAGCACAGGTGCTGATAACTTTGTCTGTCTGCAGATAATGGAGAGAAAGGCTGCACTCGGCTGGAGAACTGCTCAAAACCCGGATGGACCTGCTGCCACACGGACCGCTGCAATGAGGGACATTCAAACCAGTCTGGATGATTAGTCAGAGTCCTGATAATTCCTGTGAGGAGTGCCTCAGAGCCCATCTAATGAGTCTAGATCCAATAAACTGTTGGATGGCCCAATAACCAGAGTGTGTGGTTTATTTTACCAGTGGAGTATAAATGCTGTTTCAATATCTATCAATATGCCTGAAGCTCTTCATCATGACTTTTTATAGAAACAGAAGAACATATGAGACTGTAGACCCAAATACAACCAGAAATAACAGGGAACGGTTAATAGGTTTATTATAGGAATGTTGCAGAGATCTCTGGAGCAGGTTAAACCAACGGAGCAGGAACCACTGGAAGGGAGAGAGCAGGTTAGTGGATGGACAGGAGATTCACTGGATCTTTAGGTTTAGACAAAGAGCCAATAACCTTCTTCTGAATCTAGCAGTATTAAAAATCCAGAGCTTAGGTTCAAAGGTGATGTTGAAAACTGGTTTTCTGTGGATAGGGACTCTAGCCGGATCCATGCAGAAATCTACGAGGGACAAACCTGATAAATAAGGGGCTGGAAGAACTCATAGGTTCCAGGACTGAATCAGAGCCAGAGACTGAAAGAGTCTTTAAAATCAGGAGGGGGATTCATTTACCTCAACCGGAGTCAGGTGTCAGACAATCTAGCACTGCCAACTGGTCAAAGACGCGCTTATTCAATTCAGTTTATTTATAAAGCGCCAATTCACAACACATGTCATCTCAAGGCAATTTACAGATCAACCAGATCATACAATCAAATTGATTAAAAATGTTCTATCTAAGGAAAACCAGCTGATTGCATTGACTCATTGACTCTTCAGCAATCCCTCACACTAAGCATGCTTGTAGTGACAGTGGAGAGGAAAAACTCCCTTTTAACAGGAAGAAACCTCCAGCAGAACCAGGCTCAGTGTGAGCCTGCCACAAAAGGGTGGGGTTAAACAAGCAAATACAAAAAAATATACAAATATTACCATTTACACTTGGCCAAAGACTAAAATGAGGTTATCTCCAACATAACCAATTAAAATCATCAATGCTTTAATAGAACAGTCTAAAACAGGGGTGTCAAACTGGTTGCAGAAAGGGCCGTGTGGCTGCAAGGTTTTTTTTTCCAACCAAGCAATAGCACACCAGACTCCATTCATCTCATCAAGTTAGTCCAATCTGAACAGGATTACTTGATGAGATGAATGGAGTCTGGTGTACCATTGCTTGGTTGGAAAGAAAACCTGCAGCCACATGGCCCTTTCTGGAACCAGTTTGACACCCCTGGTCTAAAAGAACCCCTGGTTGCTATCTGCAACAAAACTGGGGGCCACACAAAACAATAGAATGTTCCAAAGGAAATACCAACCAATGAACCAGATAAACTAAAAAAAAAAAAAAAAAAAAAAGAAACAAAACAGCAGGGTCTCCATCGAGCTGCAGCATTGTCAGAGCTGGAATTGAATCAAAAGGTTAGTAGGTGATTTACAGAAGATGGAAGCCAGAGGAAACCATTGTCACCTACCAGAGCTGGATGACTTCACCTCAAATCAGAGGAACCTTTCCGGCCCACAGCAGGAGGATCAGCTTTCCAATATATTCTCTATATAAATAATTGTTATTTTTGCGTTATGGAGCTGTGTGGGTGCAATAAAACAATACATACCCTTTTTTAACTGCACTGGGGAGGGTGAATTACAGCCACACCCCGGTACAAAGCAGCAGACTTCCAGTGGTTTCTAGATTTAAACAAGTCAAATCAAACACTAAATTTGTAGGTCTTATGCAGAAGGAGAAACCTTACTTACTGATGTTAGAGCTTAAGACCTGCATGTTTTCCAAGTGACCTTCCCGACGGCGTGTGACCAAATGCCAGCATAAGCAACCAGGTGAGAGTTTCCCCTTTATACTCGCCAGCAATCATGAGGTAATTAGGGGGCCAGGTGTTCTGAATATTGGGGCAGGCTTCTTCCTGCTACATCAGCATGAATATAAGAACTGATAATAACGACCTGATTGAGGTTGTTGGGAACAGTGGTGGTTCTAGAGTCTTCCAGCTGCTGGGAGGAAGGATCTGTGATAACACCCCTGGTGCATTTAGGGTGCAGTAGTGTGTCACTGAAGGAGCTCTCCAGTTCAGCACCAGCTTCATGCATGGGGTGGGAGACAAACGTGGCCTCATAGTTAGGGCATTGTTGATTCTGAGTTCAAGCCCCACTGCCACAGACCGCCACTCTGGGTCCCTGAGCAAAACCCTTACTCTCAGTCATCAGAACCTTCCAACAGTGGGCCGAGCATGTCCCTACTAAAACAGAGGCACAAAGAACAGAAACAGATGATGCTCTCCAAACCTGTGGATTCCCAAACTGGGTGTTTATCAAATCAGCAAGGAAATCCAAAAGACACGCAGCAGAACATAACGGTGTGAAGATTAAACACAAAAACATCTCTATCCCATATGTTGCTGGAGTCCCTGAAAAATTCAAGAGGATTTTCTCCAAACAAAAAATCCCAGTATATTACAAACCAAACAGACCCTTAAACAGAGACTAGTGCATCCTAAACATAAAACCCCCAGACCCAATCTGAGCGGAGTGGTGTCTGCAGTTCAAAGCCGTAAGGAATGCTCTGATCTTTATATTGGAGAAACCAAACAACCTCTCCACAGACGCATGGCCCAACACAGAAGAGCGCCCTCCTCTGGACAAGACTCTGCTGTACATCTACACCTTATGGACAAATGACATTCTTTGGGGGACCAGAATGTTAAGATTTTGGACAAAGAAGACAAGTGGTTTGAGAGGGGTGTGAAGGAAGCCAAATGGAGGAGGGGATAAAAGGGAATACCTCCTTAAATAACCTGGTTGGAACTGGATCTAACATACAAGTTGAAGGCTTAGATAAAGACAATAATTTAGCTATCTCTGAAAGTTCAACTGGATCAAAGCAGTCTAAACCCGATTCAGATTCCATGACTACCTCAGATACAATCGTGGATAGAGGAGTGCTAATGACAAGTTCAACAGCTGGACAAGGGCCACACAAACTGACCAATTAGGACTTGGAGGGAGCCCTCAGGTGTCTCTGCCAGGCATCCCTACTAATGGAACATCCAGCTGCCATGAATTGAATATGCCCACAACTCCCAAGTCAGCTCGGCCACAGGTATGTCCCCAGTCATGGCAGCTAATGGTTTTCAGTCTCCTCTGTTCCCCACTCAAGATCATAATCTTGCAGTGCCATCTGCCTGAACACATCTTTACTGAGTTCAAGGAGTGTGGAAGGCCATCCAGGCATCCCTTACACGTTCCGCCCAACGCAACAAGGTACTGCCAGATTGTTCTCCTGCCCCCTATACCAACTAGGTCAGAAGGTGTGGTCATCCACACCGGACCTCCCCCTGCAAGTGGAGTCATGGAAGCTCGCCCCCCATCACGGCCCTATTCAGGTGGAGAAAGTAATTAATCCATCAGCTGTTAGATTGAAATTGCCTGACTCCATTCTAGTTCGCCCTTCCATGTTTCTCTGCTAAAGCCTGTGTCCTCCAGTGCCCTTAGCCCTCCTGCTGAACCCCCTCCTCCTGCACTGTCCATTGATGGCCATCCTGCGTTCACCGTGCACAAAACCTTGGACGTGAGGCATCACCTTTTAGATTGTAGATCTGCCAGCATCTTTGTGTGAAAATAAACTCATCTGCCTTTGGGGATTTTCTACAGCGAACTAACCTGTGCTCTGTCTTCCAAGGATCCAGCTCCACACCAGTCTCCTCCTACCAAGCCACACCACCTACCTCATCTCCAGCTGCTGTCCCGTGAGCTTGCCTTCTTCCTCAACCTGACCCTGCTTCTGAAGACACTGTCCTTGCTCCAAATAGAGAACCATATAAACAGTTGTTTATGTTGTGCAAAATACTATCCTGCAGATAATGAATAAATGATTAACTAGAACTGGCATTATAGTTAATTATTTAACTTATTCAAAATCCGAGGTGAAATCAATTTAACGTTCTCAGTTGAATAATTGTAGCTCTAATTTATTTACTTACCTGGGTTTGTGCCTTTCACCTCTGGGTGGTTCCTGGACCGACTGTTAAAATCCTAATTCTGTCTCTATTCTCTCACTCTGCAGAATCTGTTAGTTCAATCTCTAACGTTCTGCTCTCTCTGCTTTTTCTCTTAGTAGCTTCATCTGGTCTGGTCCTGTTTGGCTGTGACTCCATCCTGTGGAGCTGTGGAGCTGGTTGACAGTTGCCTTTTGTATCTATGCTTCTTTTTATATGTCTGATTCTGTCTCCTTGAACCCCAGTCGGCCTCAGCAGATGGCTCTGTGCCTTTGAATTGGCACTATATAAATAAACTGAATTGGATGGATTGATGAAGGATGGATGATGGATGGATGCTGGATTGATGGATGGATGGATGATGGATGGATGCTGGATTGATGAAGGATAGATGATGGATGGATGAATGGATGAATGGATGTATGGATGGATGATGGATTGATGAAGGAATGATGAAGGATGGATGATGGATGGATGCTGGATGGATGGATGGATGATGGGTGATGGATGGATAGATGGATGAATGGATGTATGGATGGATGATGGATTGATTAAGGAATGATGAAGGATGGATGAAGGATGGATGATGGATGGATGAATGATGGATTATGGATGGATGCTGGATTGATGGATGGATGGATGATGGATGGATGGTATGGATGGATGATTGATGGATGCTGGATTGATGAAGGATAGATGATTGATGGTTGAACTGTAAAGTGCCTTGAGATGACATGTGTTGTGAATTTGGCGCTATATAAATAAACTGAATTGAATTGAATGATGGATGGATGAATGGATGAATGATGGATGAATGGATGGACGGATGGATGATGGATCGATGAAGGAATGATGAATGATGGATTATGGATGGATGAATGATGGATGCTGGATGGATGGATGATGGATGGATGGATGGATGGATGATGGATGGATGATGGATGGATGCTTCCTGATTGCTCATCAGAGGTCCACATTTTGCTCGTCAGTTTTTATTGTTGTCATGAAGAACATGAGTGTCAACGAAATGATTTCATCATCGTCATCATTGATG